TAATGTATTTTATCCAAATATTTATTTCACGAAAATTTGATATTTTTGGCATAAGGATTGTATACATGATGTAAAAACAATTATCCATTTCCTTTTGTCAAGAGGACAAATTCCAAAGAGAATTTCGAAGAGAATTTTACAGCGAATCTCAGCATTGTGTCTTCTTTCATAAAAGTATTATTTTTAAAACCGTTTTTTATTAAAAAAAAGATTAGTCTATTAAAAATCTTTTAAACTTTAAATTTTAATGATCCATTAATACAAGGGACCCTAAAAATCATACAATATTACTGTATCTTTCGAAAGTTAATGCCGGTCAAGATTTCTTTTTCCGCGCCATAAGTGTCCGAATCTCATCTTGAAGAGGCATTTTTTATGCCAGCTGTACATTGAGAACTGGTACGGGTCAAGAAGGTAAGTCCGATAGAAAGTCGTCCACACGTGAAGTTCGAAAATAGAACGGCTTGCGAAATTGCTCCCGAGATGGTTGCAAAAATGAGGGAACGTAAACAATGTTACGAATGTACGTGATTTAATTCTAACAATACAATGCAGAATAAAGCAAAAGCAATAATTATGTTCCTAACGAGAATTGGCTACGCGAGTCTACAATCTTTTTGCATTGAAACTGTACGTAGAATTATGGCCCGTGCGAGTTAAATGATGAGTAAATAAATTCTACACGAAATGGATTATGTTAAACAAGTTACGTAGCATACCACAAAGACAATTTTGAAATCGCTCGAAAAATTGGTAAATAAGAAAAAACCACGAGGGTAAAAATTCTTACGAACATAATTTTTGTAAAGGCAATAGAGACGCGGCGCCCGTTAGATACATCGCGTTTCGCCGGGCCCTTCGATTACGACAAATCGCAAGAGACGCGGAACCGCGTCAATTACTTTGATCCACCGCGTGCGGTACGATGTTATCGCCTAACGACGAGCGTATCGCTGATAGGATCGTGACGACGTAATAACAGATTTCCACATTCAAGGCAGAGAGAATCGCGAGGAGTCCTTTCCCCCATTCTCTAAACGCCGTAATCTTTGCCCAATTTGTTCTCACGACCTGTATTCGTGCGCAGGCCATTTAGATACGATCCGCCACGCGTTCCGCCACGCGGAAGAACGCAGATGCGCGGTCGATCTTCTTTTTTTTTCACGAACGTCGGCGCAGGAGAACCCATTACACCTGTGCTAATTGCGTCTCGCAAGGAGCGCCTAATCAACGGGCGAGAGTAGAAAGTACGGATCGTCGCTCGTGAAACGGCAAAGAGACTTTAAAGTAATTGAAACGGTAATTGCACGAAAAAAGAAACACACGCTAATGAGTTCTCTGTAATCCCCTGACGAAAATGATATCTCGGGAGGCGAAAATATTTTTCTATTATCTCCCTTTTTGCTGGTTCAGGGAATATCAAATTATCTTCCTAAGACATTTCTGCAGGTATTATTAAAGTATTTTGCGCACATAATAAGCCGTCACAAAAATTTACGTTTGAGACGAAAAAGATTCTATTACAAAACGTGGATGCATTGCCTCACAAGGTGATTTCAAAATTTAGTGATGATCTTAGCGTCTAATGGACGCGTCGAATTTTATTCAATTACCAAAGCCCGCGCGTATCGTCCAGTTGCTCCGTTCAATACCGACGTAATTAGAAGTAAATGATTTTGCACCAGATCGCTATTAGTTCACTGGCTACGCGATTGTGCGATGAGCGCTTTCACAAGAGAGCGGAAATTACGAAATTTGCGTTAACTTACGGCAAACGCAGCCAGCCTTCGGCGGGGAAAAGCTTCGAACGTAATGGTATCGATAATTATCGGATCACGCGAAATTAGCCGACGGGTCATTACGCGTGCGTCTCGATTCATCGCGATTCGTTAAGATACTTACGCACCGTGAACGCACATACTCGATCGCAATCTGTGCCAAACGTTCGGATCTCGCAAGATTGTGCTCGAGATTCGCTGTATCTTATTTTTCCCCGTAACGTCCACGATCATTTATTCGGGACGACTGCGTAGGAAAATGACCGCCGAATGCTTGCACTTGCGTACGAACGTAGAGAGTAGTTCAATTCTATTTCTTTCAGAAGCGAATTGAAAAAGTAACCGTCACGATTGTTCCATGGACGTAAATTAACGCGGGATAATTCGCGGTTTTAAACGATCCGCTGAGCGACGCGGTTAGAGCCATTATTTTAATCTTACAATTAGTTTACGTCGTTAACCTTTAAACGCCGCGCCCTCCGTTGGCCAAAAATGTACGTCCTCTTCTAACGATAGTGCGCGATAATATTTCTCAAGATCGGTGCGAGATCGAAATGCAAAGGAGAAGTTGCACACGCCCGCGACATTTTGCTTTCGGTTTACTTACGATTTCTCAGCGAAGAAAGTCCCCAGCGTGCAACTTCCCTTTCATGCTGCATCTATATATATGCGAGTTGCAAACAGGGTCACGCCGATGAAAGTCAATAATAATACTTGCGCGAGCAAATACCGGTGTCCCTCTGATTTGCATAAGCAAACGCCATTTCGCGGAGATGCTACCAAACGTTAATAAATTTCATCTTTGACGGTCCCAGACGACCGACCGCCGCCATCATTGACGACGGCATTTTTTTTCTTCCTTCGGCTCTTTCGCCGCCATATCGTTGGGTATACGACTATTTTATAGGACAAGAAAGCCGTCTCTCTCATAAAGATATTCTAATGTCTTCTGGTTCCCGCGGCTTGGCTCGCGCCTGGCGTTATAACACGACTACCTTCGTCGCATTCGACCTCGTCGATCGCGGTTCCGTTAATGTCACACGGCACAATGTCCTGCGTGATCCACATCCTTGTATGGACTTTTCTCGGCTGAACAAAAGGCACGGAGGAACACGCGAATGGATCGACCGGCGCGGCCTTTCTAATCGCTTCTTCTCCGTCTCGCGACAAGTTCGTTCGATTTGCACGACGCATGACGGTAACAATGTGTCGTTTAAAAACAAAACTGCAATATAGCCATTTAGCTCAAAATTTAAATTCGATTGTGGATCAAATGAATTGCAAGTAGCGTTCTATCATGTTAAATACCGATGCCGATTTTATCCTACAAAATAACGTTCGTACGGAATAATCGTACCGAAAGCGAGAGCGGATATTACAACCGTAAGACCGTCAAACTTTCCTCTGCGGTTTTTCCCCCCCGAGATGTCTCGCGGAAAAGTCGCGAGTCCTGCCTCGGCGGACGACTCGGCGTTTCGAATTATGCGTACCACGCGAGCAACGTGACGCAAGACGAGGCCTTTTTGCCGATCGTCGTTCGCCATTAGAGCGGACGCGGCCCGCGCGAACGGTACCGTTCTGCATGAAAGCGCGGCAACGGCGTCGTAAATGGTCGCGCTCGCCGTTGTTACGGCAAGTCGCCCGACGAAGATGCGAGAAGCGGCGAAAGGGACGAGAGCGAGAGCGCGCGCGCGCGGGCATCACCGTCCCAGCAGCATCCCGCCGCTGTTACGTGAGAATGCAATGCGTACCCACTGACCGGCTTCACGTAACGTTCCACGACAGGCACGGACCCCGTGCCGCGTTACGATTTACGCGTCACGTTCGAGAGGCGAGTCTCGAAAGTCGTGAAATGAAACGAGCATCGATTATAAAAATTATTGGGGTATCGTCCACCTCGGATTTTCACCGACGTCGTTTAACTTTGATTGTTAGTTTAATTCGTCCCCCGTCTCTTGTTCAGGGAACAATTAGAAAGAGACAAAGGATGAATTAAACTAACAATAAGATCAGAAAGTTAAACGACGTTGGTGTTAACTGGTTAGTCAATTATTTTATTATGTAATCCTCGAGGGGTAAACCGCCGAGGGCATTGTGATGTACAGATTTGCGGCATTAGTGAGCATTACTAGGCATTTTTTGGGCATTACTTTAGGCATTAGGCCTCGCTGGTGCAGTATTAAGATAAAATAAGATAATAAGATAAAGTAATGCCCACTGGGCATTAGTAGGCATTGGTGTACAAGATTTTTATCTGCGGTTTCGCTCTCGGTAATTCCCTAGTAAGTTCGAGAATAAATCGGAAATAACGAGTCAGCAATATCTCACTTAGGTCCCAGTTTGTCATTTTTTGGTGAACTGTTAACCAGAAAATAAATACTAGGCCTTAGGAACCGGTTGTTCCAGCCTCTTGGCAAGTTAACTAATAGTTAAATTATATGTACGTTTTTCCTTCGAATCACAGAAGGACAGACATATAATTTAAATTTAACTGTTAGCTTATTAAGATTTAGTTTCACCAAACGTCGCTTGACTTGAAGCTTAGTTTAATTTGTTTCTTTCCAACTGTTACTTTAGAGACAAACCGAAATTAAACCAAGATTAAAGTCAAGCGACGTTAGGGAAACCGAGTCTAGGGTTCAGTTTCATCGACGTTGTTTAACTTTAAGCTTAGTTTAATATTTGTTCTTTCCAACTGTTCCTTTAAAAAGAGATAAACATGAATTAAACCAAGATTAAAGTCAAGCGACGTTGGTGAAACCGGGTTTAAAAGGTTGACGCTAGAATCGGCCCTTGAGGTGCCATGAGCGATAAAAATATCTTAAACCTACGTTTTTTACATGTTTTAAGGTGACTCTTGAATATCTCCCTGAAACGCGCCCGCTAGCCCTAATCTGTCATCAACGTCAAGGCTCTCTGGGACACCCCATATACCTCGTACAACCGTCGGGTTTCCCGCGATATCTTACGCGCGTAATACCTGACGTGCGCTGACGAAAGCGAGCTCTAATTTTAACGTAATAGCTGTCGAGGCTCGCCACGCAAGCGGGCCTTACCTCTCTTGCCGCGAAAAAGGTTTAATTAAATAAAAAAAGCGTTCGCCCCAGGGGGACCACGTGAGTGCTCGTTCTTAATTAAGATACCGATCGCCGACCCGTTATAACGCTCGTACGAGGCGAGAGGCGATCCGCGGCCTCGAAAACTCGCACGCACCGGGTGAAAATGGCGTATGACTTATTGCAGCTGGTCACCCAGGGCGCCGAGAGGAAAGCCGAAGGTGGGAGCGACGGGATCGCGCCGGTTATGCAAAAGGCGAAAACGGTCACGTGTGGTACGCCGCGAACCGAGGCAATGTCATCGAACTTATATAATGTGTCGCCTTGCTCCGATCGCGCGCAGCCCTCCGCGTGTCGATTTAATCCCTCGCGGACGGGCCGCGGTATAATCGTCGCTTTCTACGTGGGCCGACGATACTTCGACACTTGGCGCCGCGAGGTGATTATAATGCGCAAGGTGTTTGCGCATCACCTACAATTTTGAGTAATGGCAATTATTTGCCGAGTGCCGGAACACTCTAGTCTAGCGAATGCTAACGGGCTAACGGGCTCCCGGCTAATAACAATGAATGGCCCACGTTAGAGTCTCTAGATACCCGCGTTAATTGCCTCGAGTAGTTTCGGTTGCTGTCGGAAGACCATCTAGCAAACGGAGAGAAAATCCGATCCGAGCGGGACCAGCGTGAAATCCGTCTTCCGAACGGAGAACAACGAAGATGCACGGAGAGATTCCGGCGAGAGGCGCGACCCGCGCGGAATTCCTCCTCGCGCGGGGGATGGCCCGGCCGCTCGTGGATAGGCGCAGGTGAGAGGGCCCCCGCGAGAAGAAAGGTAAGAGGTCCCGCGATCAGGGATCCCTACCGCGCCGGCCGGCGAGGAGACGCGGCGACGGACGGGCCCCGCTCGAGAGGAAGAGTCCGTCGAGAGCCGAGTCGATGTCGAGGTGATCGCGCCGAAGGTGCGCAGTGTATCCGCCGCCGCCGCTTTTCACGGTGGACGAGCGTGTGAATCGGAGGGCCCCGTCCGCCGCCGACCGCCCATGCGACGCCGGACAAAATGCCGAAAATTAGCCTGCGTATTCTGTGTAAGTGTTCGTTTTCCCCCGCACGTGTCGAGACCGGGCCCGCGCGCGCTCGGCTATCATGTGTCGATCGCACGAGTGGATGGTGTTCAATCTTGTCGCGCTCCTCTCGCCTCACCCCGTTTATTTTGATCCACGTGTTAGTTTATCGCCGCAGGCAGGTGAGACAACTATGCATGTTAATTCGACACGTCTCGGGGCTTTCGTCGATCAGGACCGAGTAATTTTTTGACGACGTGCCGATCACCGGCTGACAGCAAAACCAGTGAAATAACGAAAGCGAGCGCCGCAAATCGTGAGTCAATTATCTCGATGGGAACTCGATGACTCGGTGGGACGAATTCGTAAAAATTAACGCGCGATGTGGAATTCACCCAGTAAAAAGATTAAATAAATGACATACGCTGGAATCATGTTTCTTTGAACCTATAATACATTTTTGTTTACTTCTGCTAAAGCATTTGTTAGATTTGAAGAAATAGATATCAATTCTCTTAGAGAGTCCGGTCTCAATTAAATAAAATTTTGATTAAAGTAAAGAAGTTGTTTCTTTGAAATTGAATAAAAGTCTAATGTCAAAACTTTTTTCTGGGTCTTGTGGCGTAACATTTTTATTCTTTGTGTAATATTTTTATACGTGTTTTCTCACGAAGTATAAGTTAATTTTTGTATTAAAAAAGCGTCATTTTAATAATAAAAAATTCTTGATACCAATGTAATTCATTAAATATTCTATCAATCGGTAACAGTTTAATTACCAAACATAGTTGATCGCATTTCATACACTCATTATTAAAGGACAGACGAATTAATGGATACGATCGATGCGGATTTGATTTTTTCCGTTGTCAGATAATTGAGCGTATTTTAATGAAAGTTTGAGCATTAACTAAGATTACGACTATCTAGAGACTTTTAAATTAAGGAAACTGTCAGGAGTTCTCTCAGAGATTCCAGTCTCAATCGAATAAAATGTTGATTAAAGTAAAGCAGTCGCTTCTTTGAAATTGAATAAAAGTCTGATAAGGTCAAAACTCAAAGAAAATTCGTTTGATTCAAAGAAACTTTTTCTGGGTCTTGTGGCGTAACAATTTTATTCTCCGTGCAATATTTTTATACGTAGGAAAAATTGTTTCAACAAGACACTGCTTCGGGCAGCTTCCTTAAAACAGAATTTAATGTACTTAATCGCGAGCCATCAGGTTTCCACGTTATTTCAGTTCGACGCAATTAAAAGTTATAGTGTATGCAATAATATACAAATACTTTCAATTAAAAAAATACCGTTATACAGCTATTGTTGCTGCAAGTAGATTTTATCTGGCGTTACGAAGGCTAATCGCGAGAGAAAACTAAGATATTCATGAAGTGTATTCATTGAATAATTAAATTTATGAAGATCTTTGCTCTCATCTATCTGTCATACTCTCTCGCGGACATTACGCAACGAGATATCTCTCAGTCGGTCGTCCTCGCATCGGTAGCGAGTTTAATCAATCATCGACGAGCGCGGATCGTTCACGATCCAGTTATAATTAAGAAAATACCACTTGTCCGCGTTTCGCCACGACCGGTCCATTCATGCGGCCTCAAGATGACGTTCGCGCAAATGCTAGGAAGAACATCGACGTGACGTCGCTCATAAATTAAGTTTCTCCGGCGACACCGAGGTATTACGCGCCTCGCGGAATTATTACGCTTTTTTTGTCGCGATTTCGACAACCCGACGCGTTCACATGTAATTTACAAACGCGCCGTGTAAATTGCGGCAATTGCCGTGAAGAATTTTATTGCTCGTGTGCTGAAATACGCCGCGGCGCTTTGATTTAATATCGGTGTAGCTCTCGTGACGGATGTTAATAATAATATTACATGGATGCGCTGGTTGCTTAATGAAGCTTGTCCATCTCGAGTTTATGGAAATTTCCTGATTCCGAATATTCTATAGTATTAAAAAGATGCAAAATCATATTGCGATCCCTCTACGAGGACGTCGATATAATTAAGCCTAATTTATTATCTTAGATCCGCGTCCGTGTATTTCTGCTTGATATTTCGACGAATTAAGATGTAAATTAATTTTCATTAAAAGCTGAATTCTGTACGCGGGGCTTCGGACATACAGAATTACAAACGGCGCGACAAGAGTCGCCTGGGATTTTATTAAGAAACTCGTTGTCGTCGACTTTTTATGTCTATAATTCCGAAGTATCCACGACTAAATCTCCAAATCTAATTGTAAGATATCTTTGCGAGCGCACGACGCAAGAAATCGGTAGTCGGCGCGGGATCGACAATCGGACAATCGTTTCGAGTGGCACCGTGAAATCCCGATCTGCCTCGGGCCTCAGCGGCGCGAAAAGAGCGTTGTTCGCGAGGACACTTTCGCCGCCGGAAATTGGCGCCGCTAATTACTCCTCATCTCGCTCCGTCTGCCGTCGCAGGTTGCTCGGCATTCTCTCTCACGGAGGTCACGCGCCGTTCTTGGCGTGCATATCTCTCGAATCATCTCGTCATTAATTTCGCGATGAGTCAGGCGGAAAATAATTCACGGGCAATTTCTCGCGGATCGAGCGATTTGTAACACCGAATGAGAGCTCGCTCTATCACGACCACCGGTCTTTCTCGTGCTCGTTCCTCGTGGCCTTTGCGTCCTTTTAATGCCATTGAAAATGGCAGGCCACAATGAGAGAAAGAGAGAGACACAGCACGTGCGTTTAACAACATCACTCTATAAAGTGGATATTGTCGGCCTGTCAGTCTTTCGAAAGATTTCACGTGTTGCCGACTACGGATAATGACAACGAAATTACGGAGGACATCGAGCCCCGACAGCTTTATATGGCAGACGTGTAACGATACATTCTCAAGCTACGCGTCGCAACTATTATAATATCTGCGAGGCTTTCAAGTCGCTAACGTTTTTGGTATGGAAAATCTTAACCGCACGATTGCGAAACAACGAAGAAATCTATCGAGCTAAGGCACTTTCGATATATTGACTTTAATCAAAGCGTAATTTTGGGCGAATATATGGCCAATAGCAATTAACGTTTTAATCTTACTCCGCCGAGTTCTCATAGGTACGTTGAGAGGAAATGCCGAGGGGAGACAAAGTTGCGCATTGTAGCCGGAGAAACGTGACTTCGTTGGCGTCAGTCCGACGAGATCGGCAAGAGCCCTCGAATCGTATTATCGCGTTTGCATTGCGTAATATTAAATGTTGTATAATTATATAACTGCGTTATATAATGCGATATGACAATTATCTCGGGCCGCGCTTTTCGAAATGCCACAGAAAGCCGCCGATCGTCGCCGTTTCAAGGCGAGCAATCCCGTTTGTCCGCGCGAAACGTGACGATGCCGCGGCGGATCGATCATCTAAGCGCGCGAATGTGAATTATGAGAGAGAATCGAACTCCTTCGCCGCGATAAATCAAGCGGAGAGACGCAAGACTCGCGCTACTCCAGTCCGGAGGACCCGGCCGAGCCGTCACGACGACGGCGGCCGTTCATGGTCAATCGTGAATTAAAAGACTACCTACCTTGCCTAACCGATTGTGGTGCGCGGCTGAGATTTTAGCGTGGCCTCAAAAGTAACAACGGCGAAGATGTTCTATCCCCGAGCGACCTTTCACGCCACGACCGCTCGATTGCAACATCGAAATCGAGCGATATTCAGCGATCGGCGCGATTTTCCACGACGCTTCGCGATGATTCCCAGATGAGTTTTAAGCCTAATCTACAATGTCCTTTCTGCATACAAAGACATTCTATTTTATGTAAACATATCGAGACGCTGAAAACCTTTGTCGGCAATGTACACGGAGATAATTTTCTGTTAACATTTATACTGAAAATACTGTAATCGTGGAACAACACGGCACTTCAAAGAATTTTATAAGAGCTTTTTGAAATTTTACCAAACATTTCACTAGCAATTATACTTGGTATACATTTTATTAGTAAAATCGATACATGGAGAAAATTTTCTCTGAAAATTTACCCTGAAAATCATGTAATCGTGGGACAACATGGCATTGAAAGCTTACCATACATTTTACTAGTAAAATGTGTGGTAAGCTTTCAAGAAACTCCCATATAATTCTTTAAAATGCTTGTTGTCCCACGATTACACGATTCTCAGGGTAAATTTTAAGAGAAAATTCTCTCCGTGTACCGATTATATTGTACAATGTATAATATACAATTTATCGACTTGCACAAATGTTTCAAACGTATTTATTGGCTACAAAATGGAATGCTTCTAGACGCAGAGAGCACATTGTAGATTAGGCTTTATTATTAAATATAATTAGTTTATTTTAAATTATAATAATCTAATTATTTGAATGCGAGAAACGTCGGGATTTTTCCTTGCTTGTTAATGAGAAAACGCGAAGAAATTCTTCGATAAACTATAAATGTACTATATTATGATCAATATTCGTAATATCGCCTAGTTTATAGTCGACGATAAATGAAAAAATCATTCTGGCAAAGAGTCTTGAATTTTACACCGTAAAATCAAATCGCAGAGTTCTCTCGACAGTCGCCGCATAATTTCTATTGTTCGTTCAAGCGTAACCCTTTCGCGAGTAATCTCTAGATTCTCCCCTTCGTACCCAGGTCTCGTGACGGCGGTCTTGTGCACCGTTCAGCGGAGTCTTGAACATGGAATCCCCAGGAGGAGCTTCCTGTCGCGCAGAGCGATCGATGGAACCAGAGGAAGGTGCGTTCTCGCGGCTTCTTCCGCGCGCGAACTCGATTACGCGGCCTTTTAATTAAACCCGCTCGCCTTTGCAGGAAGTACTTCGATCCGAGCGAGGACGAATCGTTCGACAGCTACGGATCCGCCGGCGGTCAGTACGATCCGTACGATCACATAACGGGTAAGTCGTTAACGTTCTAAACTTTCGTGAGGCTTAAGAGCCTACAATTTCCTAAGACGCGCGTATCTTTACATGCATTTCCTTCCCGCCCCCGTGTCTCCTGTAACTGGTGAAATGACATTTCCACTTGCCATTATCGAATGCCTTTCTTTTGTGCGACCGTCTTCTAATAGTTTCGCGCTTTCGACCGAGGTGGATACACACCGCCTTACTCATCTTTGCATTGCGAAATTATTTCTCGCTTCGCGACGGCGACGCGCGCGGAATTCTTGCGGGGCAGTCGTCTCTCAATTAATCCTACGCGCAGCGACCACCGGAGGCGGCGATAATTAACAAGAAGCCTGTCGCGGCTCAACAATTTTATGGAAATCCCAACTCGAAACTCCCCGGTTAAAAAGATTTCGCGCTACCGTGGCGTACGCGTTGATCAGAAGGACGTTGGAAATGTCCCGTTGAACCGCCGCGGTGCAAATGCGGATAAACGCGCGCGAATCACTATTAATTTCGCGCTCGTGCCCGGCGAGGCGAGCGGATCGTCAATCGCGTGAAAGGTACCGCGACGCGTGGTAAAAAACCGCGTCGCGGATAGGTCATGAAAACCCTCGCTGATTATATGGATGCGGCAAATTACGAGACGTTATCTGTCCGACTTAAATATCACAGGCGATCGTCGCGGCCTGTTTTCCACGACCTTGATTAGCTGATCGACGATTAAGCTCGGTGCACGTGCTTAACGACATTTTTCTTAACTCTTTCCCTCCCTATAAGTGACCGCTGTTACTCTCGATGCTAGTATTATTACTCTCTATAAGCGTTGTATTAATTACCGATCTTGTACCATTTAATTCTAAGGCTCGATTTCACCTGCTTAACTTTAAGCTTAGCTTAATTCAATTTCTTCGTATCTCTCTTCAAGGGGACAGTCAGAAAGGAACAGAGAATAAATAAAACTAAGATCAAAGTTAAACGACGTAGGCGAAGCCAAGCTTATTGCTCTCTATAAACGTTGTATTAATTGCCGATCTTGTACCATTTAATTCTAAGGCCCGATTTCGCCTGCTTAACTTTAAGCTTAGCTTAATTCAATTTCTTCGTCTCTCTCTCTCTTCAAGGGGACAGTTAGAAAGGGACAGAGGCTAAATGAAACTGAGATCAAAGTTAAACAACGTGAAACCAAGCTTTAATACGACGATTACTGAACTGATATTTTTCCTCGCGGACTTTACTGCCTTTGCGTAAATTTATTTGTGAGATACTCAACAGTCGAAAGGCTCGTTGTGGGAATTATATGGAATTATATATTATTTATTAGCAATAATATCTCGTGAGGATAGTTTGTTTCCAGATAGCTCGTTAACTTGAAAATAATTGTTAAATGGCATACTCGATTTTTGCCGCGGGATAATGAATCCGCTACCTCTCACTATTTCTCTCTCTTTCAGATCTATCCGACATCAGAAAAAATGTGCCGGGTGAGCCGGGCATCGATTATCCCGCCTACACGAGATTACCTCAGACAGGATTCACGTGCGAAGGACGTTCACGCGGTAAATACACGTGAATAAATTATACAGTCGGCCCGTCATATGCCATTTCGCTTATTATTATGCGTTATGACATCTATAGTTTTGCTGAACGCAACATTTCTATTCTACGTGTGCGTGAGACCATCGTCCCCTTCTTTAATTCCGAAATGCACAATTTTCTACTCGCATCACATCGATATATTATATTTTTTTTAATTTAAAATAAATTCCAATAAAGACGACTGATTTTTTTTTCATTTACTTTCAATTTCAGTAAAAGTGACTGATAAGATAATCATAAGTGACGTGATAATTTAACAAACGCGATAAGAACAAATAGCGTTACATATGCTATTTGAAATTGCTAATTAATAATATATTCAGACTTTATGGAATATTAAAGTTCTTAAAATTCAAAGATTTTATAATTATGTGCACGTTTACCTATGTTGTTTTAGTGAGATGCGTGGCTCTCGCAAGAAAAATGTTCAAGTAAAAATTTCTCAAAAATTCAGTATACTTATTTATGAAAAAAACAATTAGAAAATTAAACAATCCGATTCACTTCGATCTTCGTTTCGATATTTTCACGCAAAGGTAGAATAGATATTCATATACGTAGAATCGACAGATTCTAAGTCAGATAATGGCGCTGTTATTATTAATCGACGCCGGCATTATTTAGCAATGGATCCATAAAAAGTAATTTCAGTTTTCAATTCTTCAAATACAATAACAACCTCAAAGACATTACTGAATAACATATTCGAAAACGTTTAGCGGAATAAATAATGTACATGGAATATTTTTTATTACTTCACTTCTAACTCCATTTGCAAATTTAAAATGTTACACCTTAACAATTCTTGGGAAGACATTTAATTCTCTGCAATTCTTTTTTTTTTAATATTTCGCATGTCTTCTATTTTCTACACACAACTGATATAATTTTTATAAATCCATTTTTATAAGATTGAGATATGAAGAGTAATTAAAAGCTCACCGGCACGACGTGCAGCAGCGGAGTTACGTTCGCTGTTCATCTGTAAGCAGAAATACATCCAAATTAAGCCTGCGTTCGAAATAATTGAAACGATAAAAAATAATTGTAGCGCGGATTGGCCTTTTTTTTAAAAAGGAAATTTGACAGAGTTACATTGAAAAAACGAATCAATTTTTTAAGTCCAAGAAATCGAAGCGATTAAAATATTTAATTGTGTAAACGTTTTACTTGTCCATTGAAATATCAAGAATACCCAACATCAGGCATATATTAAACTTTTTTTAATATATAATGCGCCGTCTACAATGCACGGAGTAAGCCTGGGGTGAGGAGTAGGAGTAAGGAAATAAATCAATTTTATTTCTTACTCCTACTTCAGCTCCTGCTCCTACTTTAGGCTCACTGCGCGCATTGCAAACGACGCATTATATGGTTTCTCTTTTACTCGTTAATCCACGCATACTCCACGTATCGTACACTGATAAAAAAATATCTTAATCCAAAAAAATATTAGTCATTGGGTGGCTTCTAATAGCTTATTAACTTCAATTTTAAAAAATAATAAACAAATTAAAACATGCATTCCTTTAATTTAAGTATTTTTTAAATATTTTTCAAACAGTAGATAATTTTAAGTTTAACAGATTTTACTTTAATTCTATAAAATGCTTACTAAGATACAAATTTTGCAGCGAAGAAAATTGGATTTCTTATTTGACAAAAACAATTATTTCATTTAATATAGTATTCTCTATCTCTTAAAGTCTTTGTTCGAATGTAGAAAATGTAATGATTTAAATTAATTTATTTAATATGATGCACAGATTCACTTGAAATTTGAAATTTTTATTCAAATGGAATAAATGATTACTTCAGTAAAAAATTTTAATTTTATGTAAATCTATTTACTTAGTTTGAAAACATTTTTTTGGTCAGTGTAGACGACGCTTAATAAGATAATAAGATACACCTCGAAACAATCCCAAGTATCGTAAACTTTATGCGAACTGCGTGACGCAATAGCGCAAAATGCCACGCGACTGAATACCCAGTCAGCAAAATGTTAGCAGATTTATCAGAAACCGGCACCAAAACCATAGCCATCTGCGTCCGCGTTTGGCTTTCGTTTCGGCAACGGAGTCTGTAAAGCGTACGCTGTGAACAACAGATTGGCGGCAGAAACCGAGCAGATCCCAGTTACGCGAGCAGATTTTCTTGTACTTCTGCCGACATGCCGGCAACATGTCGAATATATCGGATATGCAATCCGCAGTCTTTCCGCCTTCAAAATTTGCAGTGGGCATTTCACCAAATCCGTGCCGACACCCAATGAGAAATAATTCGTCGATCGACGTCGAAATGATGTCGAATCGACGTCAATTCGACGGTGTCGATGTCGATTCGACGTCGAAACGACGAATCATTTCTCACTGGGCAGATCTCGCTATCTGGGTTTAATGGGCGATTGCCGCGGGGAATCGACGTATCCCGCAGCAATATAAGTAATAAACGCTCAATCTAATGATATAACGAAGTAACGAAATGACGATGCTCACCCGTGGTTGCTCCGCCGGCGCCTGACGCCACCCCGGGCCTCCTCCTCCTCTCGGACCTCCTTGTCGTAGCTGCGTCGCGGCGCAAACACACACACACACACAAACATACTCGCGCACTTGACTCGCGCACCAATTAGCTCGCACGCTAATGAAATCCAAACGACGGTCGCGCGGCTGCACTCTGAACCGGCACCCCCGCACATTTTTCGCGACGCGACCAACGAAAACGCACAATCGCGGGCTTCCCGCCCGGCGACCGCGACGGCAAGAAAGTTCAACATGGCGGGAAATCGGAAGACGCGCTGCCAACTTTACGCGCCACCCCCGCCGCCCCGCGGCGACACCGCGCACTCACTCCGTCTCGACGTTCCACCGCTAACCCCGATTTCCGCAAACTTTTCGCGCCCGACGATCGCGGATCGCTCGCGTTTCGCTCCGGGACGATCGCCGTCGCGCGAGACAAGTCGCGGACGCGACGCTCGGTCAACGACGGACGCCCCGCGACCGCCAAAAGACCAACGGGCCGACGGCGTTGCCCGAGAGGGGAAAGATCCGAGGAAACGAGCCCCGCGACCGCGACGAATCTTCGAGACGTGCGCCCCGATATACGCGAGCTCAACCGGCGCCGCGGGATCGTTAATTATCGAGACGCGACGCTGATTACGTACCCGCGTACTCACCGTTAAAACGCGTCGCGACGCCGCCGCCCGACTCCGCCGGTGCGCGTTGACGACTGAGAAATTCGAACGCGGGCAACTTCGGGGCGACGCGAACGCAACGCGTCGACTTGATGACCGATCGAGACGTGACGAATCGTCTAGAAATTCGTGCGATTAAAATCATTGAGCCGCGAGAGACACGACTTATCAAACCGTGCCGTTGAACCGAGCTCCCCCTTTCCCGCCTGTCGCGTTCCTACGTTCCGCCGGGGTCTCGTACGTTATTCCGTAAAGTGTATCGAGTCGTCCCAGAACGCGTTTTCCAACTGCGTTTCAAACGGGCTCTCGCAGACCCGGCGCGATCGTCCTTTGTTCTCCGTAAAGACCACACGTCCGGTGGAGAAGATGGCAAAATACATCGATATCGATGTCGAAAAATGCAAAGCGCGACGAAGTTTCTCAAGCGCAGGCTCGTTCGTGTCCGGTCAAGTAACCGCCGGCTCGCGGACGCGCAGCTTCCACGAAATATCTACGTTTCGCGCGACGGTCGTCGTCCCGGGAGACTCTGAATCGCCCGTGGCGAGGCGGATCCATCGTGCCGTTCGATATTCCCGACTTGGAAAGTAAGATGCAAAGCGCGACGGATCCTCCCAAATGCGAACGCGCGCCCAAGTTAACCGCCGCTCGCGGACGCGATACCAAGTAAAAGGGATACCAAACCATCTTCGTCCCGTCGCTCCGTGAAATCTCTTAATTTCGAGCAACGGCCGTCGTCCCGAGAGACTCGGGATCGTGCGTGGGCGAGGCGGATCCATGTCGTGTCGATCGACATCCCCTAATTATTCGCGGCGAGTTGCGCCCGCGTCCTGCCGCTACTACGTCCCGGGAGCTAATGCGGCGGTAGGCGGCTCGAGCCGCCGGGCCGCCGCGCCGGCGCGAGCCTCCTTGGCGCGCGGTAAACAAGGTCGCGCGAGCTACGTGTGTGTACACAAAAAGCTATGTACATACACACAAAAACGCGTTATAGTATCTCAAGCAACGCGTCCGAATCGTCGGCGTAACGTCTGCAATTACGTATTGGCAAATCAAACCGGCTGAATATTTCGTTCTCGGTATTTCCGATCGGTCTTGCAGGATTATCGAGCCGCGTGTTCCGCTTCGCTCCGCTTTGCGAACTCGGGAGTGTCTCGGGGCAGGGTTGGTACTTGCAGTTACTTTTCTTGTTGGTAACTCGAGGCAGTTGCTTCGCGACAGCAGTGCTCGAGAGTTTCTTCCAAACGGGAACCGGCACTCGATTGTTACAATGGTATTATCTCGATGCGATATTATTCTAAAGAACACCCTCGCGATTAATACGTAACATAAAGTAGATTCGAAAGATTATAGTTTCCGGCGCAGTCGCCAGATCTCTTACATTACACGTCTACTACATAATTCGACAAATTTTTCACTTTTAACTGTTTATATTGTTGAAACGGAACGGTCGATAATTTTGATTTAATTTTCCAGTTATTCGTTCCATTTTACTTTATAAGATATTTGTTTCTCATACGAATCTCGCTCACCGTTAAGCTTAAAAAAATTAAATATGCCATCATTTGCGTTTGCAAACGCAAATATTAATATTTTAACGCATAATAATATTTGTAAGTAATATTTCACGTGTACTAATATTACAACGAATTATATTGTTACGTGTAACAATTAAAATATAATTATAAATTTATAAATTAAAATAAATTAAAATAAATTATTATAAATTAAAATAATTTCTAACGTGTTTTACACGTAATATTTCGTGTAACATAGCAAACTTTAACATTTTGTTTTAGAACTTTGAGACGGTTAATTTTAATTTAATTGGTCTTATTTTGCACGTATTAATGTAACGAATAAACTGTAAAAATCTGAAACACTTCTCACATAAATGATTTTACGCAATAACTACCTTAACTTCGTTACTTTGTCTCCATCTGTAACTGTGACTTAAATCAGTTATATTTTTTCCACAGCTAGTAACTAATTTAACAGTTACATTAATAGCTACTTTGTACATATTTTAAACCTCCACAAATTGCATTAGGCCTTGCACTTACGCATTAACGTCTTTATTAACGCTTTGCAATTCACATGCAGTTTTAATAGTTTTATTTAGAAACTAATCCGTTTTTATTTTTATTACAAGAAAGTAACTGCAAAGTAACGATTCGTTACTTATTGAGTAACTGTAACTGCAACGCGTTACTTTTCAGAATTGGTAAGTTGTAACTGTAACTAGTTACATTTTTAGCGAAGAAACTGTAACTGTAACTAGATACTTTTATAAAGTAACTTTCCCAACCCTGGTCTGGAGTAACGATTCAATTTCTCTTCATCGATCGAACATTTTTATTGGAGATAGAAATAAACGACTTACGTGTAAGAGCTAAAATTGACCGCTAATAATCGATTTTTTAATAGTGATTGATTGCTGCAACATGCTTTCGATACAAGATAAGATTTGGACAAAATTGCGACAAAGAAAATTTAAATTTTTTAGTTCTTGCGCGTAAAGCATTTAATTATTCTTCTGAACGATAGATAATTTGGACAAAATTGCGATAAAGGAAATTAAAAATTTTTAACTAACCCATGCATCTTTAAGACATCTTTAAGTCGTCTTTTAGACATGCGTGCTGTATGGTAAGGTTTGACCGATTAATTAATCTTGCTTTAATTAGTCTAGTAAAAAAATTTATTTAAATATGATGTTTGACTAACCTTTACTTTCTTTCATTTGAAGGAAAATGGCGTGTCACACATTTTTACACTCGAGAGAAATAAAATCGTGTCGTGATAAATCGAACATTACGAGCTTATCTCGCTGCAATTTTCCTTCTTCTTTTAATTACGTATGAAAACTCCATTTCAATCATCTATCACTGTGACTTGTAAGCTCCGTTGCAAACTTTACATAATCATATTAATCGCATGATACATGGTTTCACGAATGACATGTCATAATATAGAACTGAGAAACTGAAACCCAATGAAATCATTAATGTAATCCTGTCTTGTCCGACAAAATGTTTAGCCTGAAATAAGATTGCTAAGATTAAAAAAACAAGTACTTTCGGTGCTAGGCACTTCCTATTACCGGTTTTCTCAATAAATCAAGCGAACGCGCCGAGGAAACTACCGTCCGATCGAGCATGGTAAAAGTATGATTCGTATATACAGTTTCATTTAATTTTCCGCGATATTGCTGCTCGACGTTTCAACTGCGCTGACCGCAGATATTAGATAATCCGTTGAGAGAAAGATGAAGTGCACAAAAGGAACATCGCACGTTGACGAGACTACGGTTACATAAGTGAAGTCTACGTATTCATTATATCCTACATAACGAATTTCTAATTCTTGTGAACGTTCATTTATGTTCTTATCGCGCAGTTATAGTCCCATTACCAAATGCTTCAGTCGTGAATGATTTTGTCTGCTTCACTATATTTAAAGAATCTTCCTTTTCGCATCAAAACTTTTCGTCAATTTTATAATTACAGCCTGCAAAGTAATTTTTGCCCAATACCAATATTAAAAATATTGAAAGGAAGTTACATAAAATGTCACAGAAAGAAGTGTTAACATCGTGGGCTTTAACGGAAAGGCACATTATCCGATAAATTGTAAGGAATATGAGTAAAAATCATAATTGGAAGATCCGCTTGTGTGCGATTGCTCAACAGGTTATTACGCCGACGAAGCGGCGGGCTGTCAGGTCTTCCACGTGTGCCACGACGTGCTGGTGTCCTCCTTCCTGTGCCCGATCGGCTCGACTTTCAGCCAGAAGCTGCTGACCTGCGACTGGTGGACCAAGGTCGACTGTTCCGCCACCAGGAGATATTTCCAGGTGAATCGCGATAGCTATCAGATTGACGACGACGAGATGATTCGCAACGCGTACGCGATGATCAGCCTGCAGGCCTCCGCGGAGGCAGTCACCAAGGACGGTCTGGTGGATCCGGACAGCGGCGCCAGGATCATCGACTACTCCGTGCTCGACGGCAGGACGGTGATGGGGTACACGCCCATGGGGATCCGCCGGATCACGGATTACCCCGCGGTCGAGGCGACCGGAAACGACCTGCCGAGCGGATTCGAGGACTATCCTCAGCAGGACGCGCGGCAAATCCTCAATTACGATCACCGGTATCAGCAGAAGAAGGCGAACGTCGCGTACCAAGGCAAGCCGCACTTTATGGAAAACAAGGGACGGTCGCCCTATCATGCGTCTGCGATCATTCAGCACGATTATCAGGATCGATCCGGCGATAACGAGTTTCAGGACGACTATCGCAGACCCGACGGGCTCACCAATCGATTACAGACGTCTTACGCGCCTACCGTTCCCACTGTTACCACCACCACCAGGAGATTCTATTCGCCCACGGTCCCGACGACCTACCGACCCTCCACATTGGCCTATAGCACGCAGGATCTGATGGTGGATAGCTCCGATCACCTTTATGCGCACAGCAAAGGCCCGGTGACCCCTCCCACGATTACTCATCGGAATGACGACACGAGTAAGATTGATTTGAGAGAGAGTGAAACGGGACACGGCGATCCGAAGAAATCGGAGAGCGCCTCGTCATCGGCAACGAATAAAGACGATCGAAAAGGCGACGATGTTCGCTCCAAGAATGACGAGGCGCGTTTCGGGGAGACGTCGGAAACGAATTTCCGAATCAACGTGACCGACGCGATTGACGAGGACGACGTATTTAGGCAGCAGAATGACAGGCCGGTAATCCAGATTGATAGCGAGGGTAGCCTGGAAGACATCGAGGCGAGAGACAGCATCGGACTCGCTCGAGCGTTGAATAATCCACTTGGCAGGATTATCATGCGGAATCAAAATCCTACGTACCAAGTGTCGAAGGCTGAGCGAACAAGCTCGACTACTCCTGTTCCACTGCAGACAGTTTTAAATCGCTCATCGGGACCTTACGAGAAAGCGGACGGTGCGAATTTATCGGGGGCCCCAAAGAAGCCGGGTGTCTTCAACGAAACGAGCAACGATCAATCGACGGAAGATTACGAGGGTATCTCCAGCTCGACGGCGAGGAGCCTCGACGGCGGAACGACTCCGCTGTTGAAACATTGGGAACAGAGAGACGTGGCGCAATTATCAACCGTACCAATGACTGCGACACCCGCGATAAATACGACTGAGAGAAGCGTCGACGAGATCAATGACGAAATCGCTGTTCGCTCGTCATCTAATGATAGCAGCGCAGCCGAGGACCAGAGCTCGTCGCCAACCGGATCGATCTCCAACTTCGACGGCGAGTCGGTGCACAAAATAAACCTCAGTTTGGAGGTTCCTCAGCCAGCGCAGTTTTTGAAGCCTCCGGTGGAGCGTTTCCTTATCAATGTACCCGAAGAATCGCGCTACACGACGAACAATGAGAATTCCAAGACTTCTTGGAACTCCGAGACGACGACCACGGAGATCCCGCGGCTTTTTAGCACACTCGCCAGGAACGAAGGTCAATCGCCGATATACGACGAGGAGCTGATTGATTACACAGACGAGGGTTTCGCGGAGACGCCTAATTCGGGCGTTCATTCGACTGTTCGAGTGGTCACCGAAGTGTCCACGTCCATCCCCTGGCTCGTCCCCACGTGGCACGGTCGATCGATCGTCGATGTTCCCGTGACCGATATCGTGCCGCCGATCGTCGACTACAACGATGGCTTCGGCGACTTTGTCCCGCCGAACGAATACTCGTACGCAGAGCAATTTGATCACACAGAACCCGCGGATTCTGCGCGAAGAGCGGAGGATTCTCCGACAACCTCGAAGAGGAACGACAGCGAGGCGGATATCCTGGCTCGGTACAACACAGGATTCCAATTCACCATTAGAGACGCTATCAAGACTCAGAAAGGATCGAAAGCAAGCTCCAGATGCCGCTCTTCGATTTTTGAGCAAGGAGGACGTTGCGAGACGAGTTCCGTCACGCCCAAGGTTGCGGTTACTACGCCGAGTGTGACGGAAAGGACAGTTTCGATTGGCACGAAAGCGACTGCGAGGACTCCAGAAGTAAGTTTTTCGAGTAGCACGAGGAAATTAAAATTGCCTGAAGAATCCGTGACACTCGTCCCTGGTAGATCTTCGACATCTGCTGCAGAGTCTTCGATTAATAGTAACATTAATGTAGAAGATTCAAACTTGAAAACGGTTACGCCGAGAGGCGCGTTGGAGATTAAAGATCCTGAAGAGGCAACAGAACGGACGGTGACCACGACGGCGAGTAGTCTGTCGCACTCGATCCATCCGGAATCCTTAAAGCAGATCGAGGAAGCGATTGATAAACACGAGTCCCCATATGAAGTCTCATTCACGGTCAAGAAAGACGAGGATCTGGAGACGACTGCTGATGATTTCATCAGTCGACTCATCGCTCAGCACCAGCGACCTGATTCCGTCTTAAAGGATGAACTGGATGATTACGACATCGTCAAGTCTGTAGAGCCGGAACCAGAGATTAGTATTTTGCAGACGCCGAAATTTTCTGTCGCTAATCACGCCTTTCCGGACAATGCGAACAACGGAAGTTTTTACGTCGCTGAAAATGACACTGCCAGTGAATTTAAACAGTCGGATTCAAATATGAGCATGGTGAGTCTCCTCCAGCTAATGGCAGAGTTGCTGAAGTTAGATCGACTGCCACGACCATTTTCGGCGAAAGACCTGAGTAACATAGAACCCCGGGATTCGTTCAACTTGGACCTCGATGAAACCTCGTATGACACAACGAGTCCACCGTTTGCTCAAACCAGGGCGACGTACAAAAACGCAAATTCCAGGGCATCCACTTTCGCCACGTCGAAGACACCCGCTAAGCTTGCCGAATCGAAAGTGTCACGGAACATACAACTCAGTAAAGCATCATTCGTCACAGGGAGCCCACGGTTGGATCACTCACAAGCTATAACGCCGTTCGGCAATGCAGATTCCAAGATACCGTCTTTGGGTGATGCTTTGAAGACCCCTAACATTGATCTCAAGCCGTCTCTCGACGCTTCTTCGACAGTCAGCTCCAACAATATCACGGAGCAGAAGACGGGTCGGTCGATACCAGAAAGCAAGGTCGCACGACCGCGCCAGAAAGAAGAAATCCTAGAGCGATTGACAGAAAACTTGGGGCAGCCTCTTTACCACGGAGAATCGATTCGTAGATCACTCGTTTTCGATCTGCCGCAAGTGCAGAGGAGCTTGGATTTCGAGACCGGTTTACCGATAGAAGAGAGCGAGCAGGCAACTAGCGAAACCGAGGAGGAAAGTTCAATATCTACGACAACGGCGATGACAACGACATCGCAGATAACGACTACGACGACGGAATCTGCGAGGACTACCGTCGAGACCGAGTTCGTTCCTTCCTTGGGATTCTCCTTAGATACCAACGAGGGTCGCGAAGAATACGTTCAAGCAGTCCTTGGAGGATTGATCGACGAACACACCAGCGAAAGCGGTAGAAATGAATCCAGCATCGCGCAAAATGAAGCTTCAAAAAATGAAACTTTGGAAGCCGAGCAATAAGGGAATTTAAAAGAAAGTTAAGAGATCTCTGAAGAGTCCGAAAAATTAGGAACGTTTGGAGATCCCTGGGATGCCTTTGACAATCGATGTTATATCAATGTCGATCAATTATAATTAGCCTTTGATTTTTTTTCCCTAGAATTACGATTAAAAGAATTAATGAAACAAAAATTGCAAACTCGACCATTGATATTTATATTACATTTAAAAACAGATCTAACGATGATTTTCTTGCTCACAATAATTTTACATTATGGAAATTATGTCGAAAATTTACCGGATAAAAGTATCTTTATGTACTTAGATGTCGAGTAAATATGAATATTATGTTATTTTTCAAGTAAATAGTGAGATGTGCATTTGAAGTTGTATTAACCTCTCTCATCCGTATTAATCACAAGATTAAAGTTAGTTAATATAATAAAAATGATATATTTACGCATGTTTGGACTCATGCACATAATTATTAATTCTCGCACGCCAAAATGTATTTCTTAATGTGACCATATAAAGACATTAGACGTTGTAAAAGGGATATTATTGCTGGTTTATTTGCAATAATGGGCTTCGATGGACATTAGTTACGTTTCGTAAAGCGGTGTCTTGCTCATGTAGCGGTAGAAGAGAAGAGTATGTGTGTGTGTAACAATGTGTACATCCGGTGTGAGTGCGGGAGAACATATGTAACACTGCGAATTGATTATTTTCTGTTTAACCCCACGGTTTCGTATTAATTTTTGAAAAATATATCTCGTTGTACGAATTTTACTGCCCAGTAAGAAATGACTCGTCGATCGATGTCGATCGGTGTGCAATACCACAGATTAATAGACAGATCGCCAAAGGCCCGGATGAAGTCGAGACCATGCACCGTACACTTTGCTCCTTACCTACAAACTTTGCCCCTCTAGATGCGAGTCTGGATTAAATATATTCGATTTTTTCGACAAATGTTGCCTTTCGGTGCGAGTCCGGACTATAGTTTCTGTGCTTCTAATTCTTTTTATTCACTTTTATGCACAAAATAATACCAGGATAAGTTGCGGACCTGTCGATAAGGAGCAAAGTGCGTGGTGGTCTCAAACTTTACCCGGACCTTCCCCCACGGAAAAATATATATTTTTAAATGTAGGTAAAAATATATGTAATATATTTCATATATTTGGCATATAGAAATTCTATTTAAAGAATCATATACAATAGATCAAAATTATAAAATATATGTAACATATATAAATTACATATTTATAATATGGATGTAACACATTTGCTTATATATTTATATTATATTATGAATGATATATGAAAAATGCCAATTTCTATATATTAGTAGTATAATATATTTTTTATATCGCATATACGAGTTATATAAAACGAATGTACCATTTCTATTTTTCTTTATATGTATATAATGGAATATATATTTTTCCATGAGGGTTTAGCGATCTGACTATTAATCTGTGGTAATACTGCAATCAATAAGTACTCCCTTACCCTGTATACACTCCTACATCGAAAGGCCGTTTATTCGCCATGACAACGATGACGACGGCGTCAAAGTTTCTCGTAATCTCGTGTAGTGTTGTTCAACGACGATTTAATCAAGTCGAAAGGATTAAACACTGCAGAACGGTTATTTGCAGTAACGATTTCTCCAATCAGTTGTAAATAAAACAGTGTCAATCTTTTCAAAAGCTTTGAGGGAATACAATGACATGCTGTCTGTATAAAATATGGAAAATATAAATCGTGTGAAGCACGATTCTGTTATTTCGTGAAAGATTCAAGGTTATTAAGCATTTCGATGTAATTTATATTTAATTACTTTTTAATAGACTAAAGAAAATTAATGTTAGTTACAATGAAGAAATTTTAGACCCTTTTCATGCCATATTAATATAAATATGGAGAGAGACGTTTATGAAAAAGAGGAGACGAAGGAAGCAGACGAGCGGAAAAGTTTAAGCGACAGGGACGACTATGATAAATCGTCCATTTCGTACATGGATTATCGGTATGTACGATATTAGTTAATAAAATTGCATTAACATTTTCTACATGATTATTCATGGAACTTGCGTTACTTCCGAAATTTATTAAACAGCATTATTTCATTAAAACAGAATAAAATGGATTCGCGATCGCGTTTTGAAGTTTCTCGGACTGACGGGTCAGGAACACCTTTTCGACAAACTTATTAACGTAACGTTGATCTTTCTTGATACATTCCTAGTAGCACAATATATTGGCGCAATATTGGGAGATAATGTAAATCTAGCATTCCCAATATTGGTCCAATGTTATAAGATGGACGCCTTCTCTTATTTAGCAATATCGGTTTAATATTATATCAATATTAGATCAATATTGTTAAATCTTGGCCACTGCACTTCCAATATAAATCTGATATTATATAATTATTATCGTGCAATATTTACATTTATTCCGTGGCCAATATTGGCTTTACATTGGACAATATCAGCCAATGTACTGTGCTACTAGGGATAATTTAAAGGTTAATTAAAGTTAATGTCTATTGTCTTTAATTATTAGGCGAATAATCGACACTTTGAGGACAAATTACTCAACTTTTTCATATTGGACTTGTACGGAGTGACAGATTTAGAAAAGAAGCTGATTTTTTTCTACAAAACTTACGTCAGTGAAGTATTTCAGGAGGAAGTCCCAGTATGGGAGGAAAGTAAGAGAAAATACATTTTTATAAAAAGAGAGAGTGCGTGTGTATCAAATTTATGGCACGTTTTTCATCGATAAATATCAAGATTTCTCAATTCTCAAAATTTCTTAATATCTGTGAGAAGTCTTTATAAGAAATACTTTTCAGTCTTTTAGATATTATCTTTTAACATCAACAATGCTAAAATTAAGCAATAGATTAATATGGTTCGTTTCGTTTTGCTAATAATACGTAAATAGATTTCATTACACATCGCTGTTTAAAATAATAGATAGAATATCATCAGCTTACGTTGAATTACATGCAATTTTAATATAAATTATAAGACTCTTAAATAAATGACTTAAAAAAAATTCTCTAAATAAATAAGAGTCTTATTAATTTACATTGAAATTGCATGTAATCTAATGTAATCTGATCATATTCGATCTATTTTAAGCAGGGATGGATACGGTATTTTGTTAGATCGCTATTTCTTGTTTAAAAATGTAATTTTACTCCGTCTAAATTTCTTGGAGTGGAATCTCACTGTTCTGGAGTTAAAATACTGCCAGTCGCGAGATAGAGTGAAATTTAACTATCTATAACGAAATAGTATCACCAATTATAATGTTCTTAAATCAAGAAATTATTGCAAGTAGTATTTCATGAAAGTGTACAATTTTATAAAAATTAGTACAAAACTTTACTAGTTTTAAAAATTTGAGACAACAAAATCTTAAAAAGTCCTTTCAATCCGCACTCTTTTGTAAAGTGAAATTTTACTCCATTTCGAGCTAGCAATATTTTCATTCAAAAAGGGCGAGATCCCGCTCCAAGAAATTTTCGAGAGTATAGATCTTAAGATACAGATAATCTTGAAATTAATATATCGTATTTTTCGTGATACTCTTTGCGAATTTTTTAGTCAGATAAAAGAGCAGTTTTACATATAACAAGATTTTTAAATATCGTTAGAAAAAGTGGAGAAACGCGATAATGGCGAGAAGAAAAAAGATAAGAGACTCACAAAGAAAGGTAAAAGGAGTAAAGTTAAAGGCGGCAAAACGGATACCAGTTCAGCTGCTAGTCGCACAGCAATGAGTACCAGCACATTGCACACGTCCAGTATACAAGAATCCAGCGAGGAGGAGGAAGAAGAGGAGGAAGACGACGGGGAGCAGAATGGCAGTGGCGATTTTCCTACTTACCCTAGAAAAAAGACAGATTTGAAAAGCATATCTACTGGTCAGCTACGTTACGTTCTACAATTTTATGTAAATTTTATTTTGAACGTATATAATGGCGTATAATAATTAATTGTGATTCCTTTAGACAGTTCCTCTGTTGCACCACCACTTGGAGAAGAGGACAAATACATTTTAACTAAGGTTACTCAAAGATTAAATAATACGTGAATTGCCATAGCTACATCTGTCATTTAATCCTGTACGTGACAAAAACATCAACTTTTTGCTAAGGAAAAGATGACTCAGTCATTACCGATCGTTAAAGATTTGATTTCACCAGTGGCAGTTATTTTTAACTCAACCAATTTGTTGTTTCCTTCTTCAGTTCTAGTTTCAGAAGGAAACAATATAGTAATCGATTTAAACCGCAGTTAAAGCGTATCGGTGTTGAGTAACCGATCGTAAACCACGCGATCTATGACAATTGCAGAAAATGGTGGAGAAAGTCCGTCAGGTACCAGTGCTTCACATGATATGCGGCCAAATAGACAGCAAGAGAATCGACCTGCAGGACGTCACGTTCTTTTACTTTATGCGCACTAGCGACGAGGGTATACCTTCCTTCGATACTTATGAAGAGTGCCTGAACGAGATCACGAATTACGTGGTGGTCGGCTCGCTTGACAGGAAATTCTTATCCTCTTTGAATAGAATACTAGTCAACGTAAGCATTGTCGACATAATCGCGATCGATTCTGGTAACAATAAGTCTCACTAGTCGATTATATTGTCTGTTTTCCAACAATTACGATCTCTCTCAATAAGTTATAAATTATAGCACTGCACATTTAAACAGTTTATCGTTCTGTGCATAAATTAAAAAATCTTTTATATTCATATTGATTGCCGGGCCATGAAAATAATTTTTGCCTTAAAAGGCTAAAAAATTTATGGACATTTCAATATTACAAATTTAGGAAAAATATATTTCATTAAAGCGTATTGAAATATTTAAAAATAATTTAAAGCTAATTCAATAATGTACGAAAATAAAATGCTAGGTATTCAGACCGTTAGTGGAAAATCAATTCAGAATGTCCGATGTTCGCGATCGATGGCAAACCAAGAGTGCGGACGATGGGAAACGAAAGAAAGTAGATGTAGAAGCGGTGAGTATCAAGAAAGTAACATACGCATTAATGAATATTTTATAAAAGTACTATTTATAAATAAATTTTGATGAAATGTTATTTTAAAAGATAGTGAAGAATTCGTATCTCCATAATTATAACTTGGCACACACGTACACACGCATGCGCGCGCGCGCGCGCGCGATACCTTCTATGATATTTCAAATCTCTTCTATACAGCTGCCTTTTCTCTTTCTTGTATATCACACGGTATTAATTGAGATCAATAATAAAACTGACCGAACTGTTAGTAATAAATGATTTCACGACTGTTATCTTTTATTAAAGCGAGCAGTGTTGAGAAGGCCATCCCACTTCGTGACAGCGTCCACTTACGCATCCCGACAGGACCTGGACGCAAAAAGAAAGGCAGATGATGAAGGAAACACCACAATCTCCGCGGCCACTTTGCAGGACGAGATCCCAAGGAGTCGGAAACAGAAGTCAAGTTTAAAGGGATTCGACAGAAGATCCGAACCATCTATTTCGGAGTCCAAGTCCAGCAAATCAATTAGTTCGAAGGAAATACAAAAGCAGCCAGTGGGCGAGCAAATCAAGAAAGATATTTTAGATTATCTTGAAAATTTGATTGAGAAGACGGAGTGGTTAGCCTTACTTTTAAGATTGATAAATATTGCACCTAGCTAGTGATAGTAAATTTTTTCTTCCATATTAACCACTTCGCGATTTTGATTTTGTCATAGGACATTGGAGCATGTCGAAGGCGATATCTTATTGACGATGCCGAAGATACCAGAGCTGAACGATCCTGCAACAACAGACGATATGTTGTTAAAAAATAAAGATATTGTTGAACAAATGGAAGAAGTAGTTATGTCGTGGGAGAAACATATACAGAAGGCAAATATAATTTAGTATCTTTCTCTTTCATATACTTTTGTGTAAACTGTGTATGATTTTGAATTACTTGCAATGCATGCAGCGTCCTAAATCGATTTAAAAAAACACGGATGATGGTATACGTCAGTACTAATGTATCTTGAAGATAATTAAAATAATTTGTTTATGAATAATCGAAAGTTATACCTTAATAAACTACGTATTACTGCATTTTATTTTACCAGGTAATGGAGTCGTACGAGAGCAAAGTACTTCCGGGGAAAGGACCAATAGCGGAACATCAATACTGGCAGGATTGTGAGACTGGGTTAACAATATTAGTTGAACAGTTAAAAATGCCCATTGTTAAGAGGATTCTTGCCCTTCTGGAACAAGCGCTCTCGCCAATCGCCCCTAGCTTCCACTATTATCAGACCGAACTCTGGAAGCATTATGTCGAAGCCAGAGACAACAATAAGTTTATTCAAACGCTGTTGAGATACTTTAAGGTAATTGTGGAGATTTTAATAATTTCTTTTAACTGGAACATTAACAAATATTGGATATTATTAAAATGCTGAGAACATTTTTTAATATGTTCTTAAATCGACTTGAAATATTTTGAAAAAGTTAGATATTCAACTTTTGAACTACAGATATTCAAAAATAAAAAAACTTTCACTTTACATGAATTGTAAGTCAAAGATGAACGTAGCACAGTTTTGTTTTTAAAATATTAAAAATTGAGCGATTGTAAAATGTGGCAGAATAAAGTTTGGCTGAAAGAAAGCTAAATTAATTAAAGAATATACTTCTAAAAAGAATTTAAATACTGTAACAACACCCCTTAGTTATTTGTTAACGTTGCAGTTGATTATCGAGTCAGATTCGTTCGAATCTATATCGGAATGCATCCCGTCTCTGATAGAGGGGTTGCGAATGCTCTGGGTGTTGTCGAGTTATTACTGCCGCGAAGAAAAGATAATGCTATTGATGGACCGAATATCGTGGCAGCTCTGCGAGAATGTCAGACAGAATTTAGCGATCGTTTTGCTGTTTAAAAAACCTTTGGAAGAGATTCTGGAGAAAACGAGCATGGCCAGTGCGATGCTGAGGCAATGGAAACAATCGTATTTGAAGACCAGGCAGGATATTGAACTGTCGGGGAAGGGAGCTCGCTGGGAATTTGATCAGAAGCGTCTCTTCCAGAACACGGAGTATATCGCCGAGGTGTGCAGTGACCTTTACAAAATCGCCGGTGTCCTGCAAGACTTCTACAACATCTTTGGGCATGATCTAAAGTCTATCATAAACGATCCGGCGCAAATCGACGCTGTGATAAAACGAGTAGACGCACTAGTAGTGCCGATCGAAGAGGCCGACTTCGACATCTTCAACGCGTTTAACAAGGAAAACTGGGAAGCACTGACCGCATGGTTTTACGAGCAAGTAACGTTTCTAGAGGATCAGGCCAAGTTCTATATCGACGAGTGCTTCATGGTGTTGATCAGCGCAGAGAACGCGCTGGAGATGTTGCTCAAGTTCAAGTACATGAAAACTCGAGACGCTATTCAGCGCCAGTTGCTCCGAAAGTTCGATGTCATCATGCAGCAGTTCAGCAAGGAGATCAACGATGTGGAAAACATATTTCATCGTGGCAAATGGCACCCGCCGTTGCTGACGTATCACCCGCCGATGGCGGGAGCGATCTTCTGGGTGAAACAGCTGTTCCATAGACTGCGCAGGCCAGTGTTGATTTTCCAGGAAGTAGGCGAGTTGAAGCATAGCGAGCTGAAATTGCTCGCGTTCAGCCAATACCTCGATCTCGCGAAGAAATTGAAGGATTTTGGAGAAGCAAAATTCAATGCGTGGCTCGATAAGGCGTTGTTGACAGTGACTACCATCATGAAGAAGAGCGTTTTAAGGATAGTGCGAGTAGAACGGGATACTCCAGCCACTTTAACTTTTCCGGATGAGGAGCGAGCCGCGAAGGGGCTGATGCACGTGGCGTCGAAAGCAAAGGGCAAAGATGTGGGTTCTATTCTGTCAACTCCACGCGGATCCCTGCTGAAGATGGACAACGTGATGTCAAAACCCAGCGCAGAGATCGAAGCTTCCGGTGCCGTGGGTTCTAAAATCATTTCTACGTTGCAACCACGTCCGGAAGTGAAGGCTGATGTCAGAGGATCCTCGTTGAAGGACGGCAAAACCTCAAGCGTGTCCTTGGACAAGCACGACGCTCGTGCAAAGATCACCTGGCCGGAGTTCATGAGCGGCGCTATTCTGGTGGAGTGTCAGCTGCGCTTTCAGGTCAACTTCGACTGGGAGGTGTTCGAGGTCATCAGAGAGGCAGAACTAATGGAACAATTGGGTTTCAAACTGCCCGCAACTATTAGAGACGTCGGTATTCAGAAGAACCGGCTGAGAACGGATATCGACGCCACCACGAAGATGATTAATCAGTATAACGACATCCTAGATACGATGGACAGAGCCGATTTACAGCTTCTGAAGCAGAGTCTGCAGGATGTCGAGAAGCACATTCAGCCTGGAGTAACGCGGTTTAATTGGAATTCCTTGAGCATCTCAGATTACGCAGCCACTTGCCGTCGGGTACTGAAGAACTTGAATTCGATTGTCGAGCAAGTCAATCAGATAAAGAAAGAGCTTGATAACCGAATAGAATCTGAATTGCAATCGTACCATCTGTTTTCTACGAAGAAGGAAGTCGCCGAATCAGAGGTTCTCTTGCCATGCAAGGTATATTAATTTTAAATTGTCTTTCTATAATATAATCGAGGAGACGTATCGACAAAACTTCCTTTGAAATTTTCTGCGAAAATAAAATTAAAATAAACATTAATATATTGCTTTCCACTTAATTTTTACAAATACAGCAATAAAGTATATTAAATTACACAATAATTATATAACTAGTAGATTTATATTATCGTACAAATTACATACAATATTTAAGATATAATTTTTATAAATAATAAATATTTATTATAAACATTGTTTAATGAAATTGTCTTCTTAGATGTGATATTTTTCCGTTTTATAGAGTTATTTTACGGAAATAAAAAATCGACGATCTGAGCTGGTGTCGTCAATGTTGAAGACTTATCAGTCGATTAGTCCAATGCTTGTGAAGCTGGAAAGCTTAGTGTTGGGTACCTCCACTGGAACAAGTCCAGCCATGCAGCTCTTATATGAAAAATACGAAAGGAAAATCTTCTCTGCTTTTATAATGTATATATCTATTTTATTAGTAGAAATAATAGTTTCTTTTAAATCAGTTCTTTGTTTCATAAAATGTAGTTTGGTCTACTTTCTAGCTGTATGGTAAGAAACATGGAAGTTCTAAACAAAATATTAAACAACACTAAACCGATCTTCCAAGTAGACGCATTATTAATAACATCCGAAGTAATATTACGTCCGTCGCCCAACGAGATCTATAGCACCATTTGTTACGATGTGCGAGATCTGCTCGAAAGACTGAAAAGATTTTCCAGATGGATGAATGGAACCTGTTTGGAGTGCAAACTGCAGAGGAGAGAACTGTCGGAGGACTTGGTCACTTTCAGTTTCTTCGAAGACGTGATGAGTGTTCGAGTTGAGCAAAGTTTATCGATTTTACTTGTTAAATTTTATAACAGTTTAATACTCAAATTTATCAGCTTTGCGTAATGCAATTTAAGACGTAAAACTATCGCAGGTAATTAACGAGCTCGTAAGAGCGGTTCACGACACGGCGTATAGGATCTCGTCGGAATGCTCGCGATACTTGTACAGATGGAAGAAATACAGCAACATGTGGTCATTTGACAAAAATCTGGCTAGCGAGAAATTCGCGGCGATGAAACCTACGCTTTTACAATACGACGAGAAGTTCACGTTTTACGAAGGCATTCTGGAGGAGCTCGAAGATATGTCGTTCTATTTCGACATAAATAGTGTACGGTAAAGCGATGATTTTATATTTCACTTTTATGCAAATATAAAATCTTACATATTTTTTAACAAGAAGAGTATTAAAAAAGGTTTAAAATATATATTATATTAAAATTACTTTTAGCTGTCTATAATCTTTGAATTTGATCATACGATTCCGACTTTTACACTTTACTCCTTTCTTTCCACAAGGCTCAACCTGAAACCACTTTTATCCGGTATCGAGCGTCAAGCGAAGGAATGGAAGCAAGCTTTAGGGAATTACCTTCTGTCTGACACCGTATTAGCTATGAGTCAACTAAAAGCTCAAATCGAAACTTTTCGCGGCGAGATCGAACTAGTGGTCACCGGACTGGATCGTTTCGTGTCGATCATGCAGGCGATCGCCAACGTGAAAAATACAGCGATCCAAGCCGAGGTGCAATTTCTTTGTTATCAAGAGTGCTTTCAAACTATGCGCGCCCACGGAATTGTATTTCTCTCATCGGATGAAGCGATGGCGTACGAGCTACAACACGATTGGGAGTCACTGTATCTCGAAGCACTCTATAGAGCTTCGACTTTGGACAGTACCAGCGACAAATTTTCGGAGCTGACTCGAGAACAGATCCAACAATTCTTGACCGAAACCGCGATGTTCGCCGAAGATTTTGAGGCGCTCGGTCCCGGAAGCATCGAAGACGATCTGGAGTACGGACTGACGAAAATGGATGTAAGTAAAATTTAAAGAAGGTATTTCTAAACGATAATTATGATCTTGTTAAAAACATTCTTTTAAAAAATTTGTCTTGAATTTTAATCTCTCTTTTCTTTAATTTTCTTTATCGAAGGTGTAATATTATTACACCTTCAATAAGAACACAGTCACAAATTAGGAGAGCTCTTCATTCTTTGCAGGAATATGGCATACAAATCAACAAATACGAGGAAAGGCGATTGGATTTGATAAAGTTAGAAAACTTATTCGACTTACCGTCCACCGACTACTCAACTCTCCTTAAGATCAAGACGGAATACGAGGGCATGGAGGTGCTATACAATCTCTACAAGGAGCAGAGAAGCGCGCGGGATGTCTGGGCGAAGACTCTGTGGGTGAATTTGAATCCCCAGCAGCTCATCGATGGTATGGAACATTTCATACGGGAATTCCGACTATTGCCGAAATCCATCAGAGGTACAAATGTCGGCCACGCATTGGAGATCAACATGAAGAACTTCAAAAACTCGGTGCCGCTCTTCATTGAGTTGAAGAACGAAGCTATGCGCGAAAGACACTGGCAAGAGTTAATGAGGAGGACCGGGCAGTATTTTGATATGGACCCGGAAAGGTGTGCGGACAACGAATAACTAAACGAACGCTATGCGTGCGACTAAATGGACAACTCAGTAGAGATTATAGTTACAAAGAAGATAATATAAGGATAATATATAATATAAGATAATAGAACAATAATTATTATATTATTACGTGCATAATGCGACAATTGTTAGCATTTTTATATCTTTTATTATATCTAAATATTGCGTTAATTTATTTTATTTTTATTTTTATATTGTAGTACAACCGTATTAATATACGGTAAATTTATAAATTTAGAACATATACGCGTATCTGTATTTTTTAATATTTGCGTATATGTATAGAAAACGTTGTAAGATACGAATTATCCTTCTAGAATAATAATTGTGTGGAATACATGTATAATTTTTCAGTTAAATTAACAAGTGCGTTATATATTATTTTTTCATTTTTTTTTATCATGTGAATCTGTTTTTATTGTGACAGGAGACATAATCAATTATTAATGGCCAGTATAAACTCACCTAAATGCATATAGTTTGCATATAGTTTAATATTTGTCTTTTAAAAGTGCAGTTAATTACATAGACTTTTAAAGTGATATAAACATGGCGCAAGGAAAAACTTTTACTATTATAGAGGGGTAAGCTTCAAGCTATGTAATATGCTCACCTTGAGATGTGTCTGAAGCTGTTGTCTCATTTTGTGAAAACTGTTAAGAACTTTCACCATTAATGAGTTTTGATGAAATGAAAACCAGTTTCTCACACACACACACACACACACACCACTTTGAATAAGTAAACGTTATAGAATAAACATTGATTAATTGAATACCATTTCAGATTTACCTTAGAAAATATGTTCGCTATGGAGCTAGGGAAGTATCAAGACATTGCGCAAGACATTGTGATGTATGCCGTAAAAGAACTTGCGATAGAAAAAGGCGTGAAAGAATTAGCGGAAATATGGAAATCCATGCAATTCAACATGGTAAAACATTATAAAGGTATTCATCGAAAGCCTAAACTTAACTACACTTATTAACGTTTGGATAAATAAATGCGAGTAGATAAGTAAATTTAATTAAGCTGATATTAATAAAATAATACTTTCGCTAGTCACAAAAATAAAGAATTAATTGCGAGGAAAACGTACACAATCTTAAGATTGTCAATTGTATTTCTCAGGTATGGAAGATCGTGGCTTTATTCTTGGACCACTTGATGAATTGAACCTGGTACTCGAAGACAACATGTTGACCGTGCACGGTATGGCATCCTCGCAATTCATCGGACCGTTCCTGAACGCCGTTCAAAAATGGGAGCGCACAATGCATACGATCTCAGAAGTTCTGGAAGTGTGGGTGGACCTCCAGCGAAAGTGGCTGTATCTCGAAGGTATCTTTGTGGGCGGTGACATTCGCCTTCAGTTGCCGGACGAGACGAAAAGATTCGACGATATCGATCAGGCCTTCCAAAAAATCATGACTGACACGTCAAAGCGACTCAATGTCTTAGAATGTTGCACGATTTATGGTATTTAACAAAAATCAATCTGTATCTTAATTGTTAAAACTAAATTTTTACAAATATATGGATTATACAAAAAGAATCAAATAAACTCGAAAAATTTATCAATTAATTAAATGTTTTGAATAATTATTTATTTTTTACTCAGGCCGAAAGGACGAGTTCGAAGCTATGATAGCAGCCCTCGAAAGATGCCAAAAATCTTTGGCGGAATACTTGCGTAATAAACGCATTGTATTTCCGAGATTCAATTTTATTAGTGACGACGAACTGCTGAGCATTCTCGGCAGTGGCAGTCCTATGGCAATTCAAGAACACGTAGGAAAAATGTTCGATAATCTCGATAAATTCGCATTGGTGTCAGACAACATGGACACATTAATGGCTACGGCCCTCATATCTTGCGAAAGAGAAGTTATGGATTTCAGAAATCCCGTGTCCACAGAAGGTCAGATCGAAATTTGGATGGGCTTGGCGCTGGAAGAAATGAAGAGAACGAATCGATATCTAACGAAGAAAGCGATCTACAGTTACGGCAAGGTTTATATTAAATTACTATACCTCCATTCCTATGCACATTGAATTTCCGAAACAACACTTTCTTAAAACTTTCTTAATCTCTTTGTTGTTTTCTGATTTACTTTAATATGTTGTTCAAAGATAATTATTAATTACTAATACTCAAGATTAAAATTTTGTCTTTTTATAAATTGTATATTATAATTTGTACAACTTGACATAATAAAAGCAATAAAGCTACAATAATAAACGTTAGGTACGAAGACCGAGAACGCAATGGATACTCGAATTTCAAGGAATGATGGTTCTCGTAGCCAATCAAATATGGTGGACCGCAGAGGTCGAGAATGTCTTCGACAAGATATCTCAGGGAAATAAACGCGCGATGAAAGAGGTAATGCACGTAAATTGTGAATATAATTTGTGTCTAAATAAAAATAAATGTTTTCTCTTGTAGTATCTACAACAACTTAACACTCAATTGGACGAAGTGGTGACGCTGATGGGTACCGGCACGCTTACAAATAATGACAGAAAGAAGATTGACATGGTTTTGACCATCGACGTCCACATTCGCGATATTATCGAGGGCTTTGTTAGAGACAGCATTGTGGATCCCACAGAATTTGAATGGGAAAGCCAATTAAGGTGATTTTTGTTTGAAAATTTATATCCTTCGGGCAGATATTTAACATTAAACAATACAATCTTTTAATGATTATAACAATCTGTAAGACAAATCCCCATAAATATTATTTATATTATACTTTTACAATTATTTTATTTATAATGAATTATTTTTACGTGCGATAGATTTTATTGGGTTCATGATCTGGATAATGTATGGATGAACCAATGCACAGGCACTTTCGAATATGGTTACGAGTATATGGGCCTTAATGGCAGATTGGTCATTACGCCTCTGACGGACAGGATATACCTCACTATCACACAAGCTCTCTCAATGCACTTGGGTGGTGCACCGGCGGGTATGTGAAGCATGGCAGAGTTGCAAATTTCTCGAGTATGAGTCAAGTATAATTGCCTCTCATCGATTTTAAATGTGGTCCAACCACAATGAAACAAATTTAAATGCCACGCTGTAATTATACATGTAGAGACATATTGAAAAAAGTGAAAGATTGCACAGAATTCTAAAATATCAGCACAAAATTTATATTTATAATTTGTTTTAATTATCTAATAGATTTATAGTAACTGAAAAACTACATCCTCTTAATTTTTAACGCTAAGGTCCTGCTGGAACCGGAAAGACCGAGACAGTCAAAGATTTAGCGAAAGCTCTGGGGCTCTTATGTATCGTAACTAATTGCGGCGAGGGAATGGACTATATCACAATCGGGAAGACTTTAGGCGGTCTTGCTCAGTGCGGAGCATGGGGTTGCTTTGACGAATTCAATCGCATAGATAGTTCTGTTCTCTCCGTTATTTCAACCCAGTTGCAAACTATACGCTCAGCACTGCAAGTTAAAGCTCAAAGATTCATGGTATATATTTCATTATAACTGGACAAGATGAATTATTAAAAATAATGCGAGTTATTTACAGTCGCAGTAAATTAATAAAATAGTTTTACAAATGATAGAGCATTCTATAAAGAAGTTTTACAATTATATGTACATGTCAAATATTATAGAAATTTCTGAGATAATCAAAGTTGTATATTTGGTGCGACATTTAAAATTTTCTTTTCACTTTCTTCTAAAATTTTATTCTTTCAATCAAGCTTATATTATTTCTTTCTTAAATATGTTTGTCATGTAGTTCTATTAATCTCTCCGTTATTTTCTCTCCGTAACTTTAAAAGTTCGAAGCTCAAGACATCGTGTTGGACTCGAAAGTGGGAATCTTCATCACCATGAATCCAGGATACGCCGGGCGCACGGAATTACCGGAGTCTGTTAAAGCCCTCTTTAGACCAGTGGTCTGCATAGTGCCGGACAACGAGCTAATATGCCAGATCAAGCTTTTCAGTGCTGGATTTCTGACGGCAACGTTGCTGGCGAAGAAGATGACTGTTCTCTATAAACTGACAAGCGAGCAGCTCAGCAAACAAACGCATTATGATTTCGGCCTGAGAGCTCTTAAATCCGTACTTAATATGGCCGGCCAACTGAAAAGAACCTCCACTGACTTGCCCGAGAATGTCGTGCTGATGAGAGCCCTCAGAGACATGAACTTACCTAAGTTTGTGTACGACGATGTGCCGCTTTTCCTGGGTCTGATTAAGGATCTTTTCCCCGACTTAGACTGTCCTAGAATGCGCTATCCAGAGTTTAACGATGCGGTTGAAGCAGTATTGAAAGAACATGGCTACATTGTTTTACCTGAGCAAGTAAATACCGTTCTTAAAAATTTTTACGCATTGCTTATCTATTTATATAATAGATTTTCAATTAAAAAAGGAGCTAATTGGAAATAATAATGCAATCACTATCCACAGGTTGATAAAGTCATTCAATTATACGAAGTGATGATGACCAGGCATTCGACGATGATTATTGGTCCCACCGGCGGTGGTAAAACTGTGGTCATCGAAACGCTATGCAGAGCCCAGACGCACCTCGGTAAACCCACGAAACTGCATATTCTGAACCCTAAGGTGAATACTAGTTAATCGTAATAGTAGCATCGTTAAGTTTTCTTGTAGCATTTTTAAAATTATTATTTCTTGATTCGACCAAGGCTTGCACTGTCATTGAATTATACGGAATGCTAGAACCTACGACACGCGATTGGAGGGATGGACTTCTGAGCAGTATTTTTCGCGAAATTAATCGCCCACTGGATCCCGACAAAGATGAACGAAGATACATACTTCTCGACGGAGATGTCGATGCACTGTGGATCGAAAATATGAACTCAGTAATGGATGACAACAAACTGTTGACGCTGGCCAATCAAGAAAGAATCAAATTGCAAAATTATTGCAGTCTGCTCTTCGAGGTAACTTAATGCAGATCTAATAATTGTAATCTAATAAATAAAAATGGATAATTTTAAAATAAATTATGATGGTAAAATTATAAGGATAACAAAAATAAAACAGAAAGCTTTAGACATTTTTAAAATAATAAGTTGGTTCTTGTGCCGCAGGTAGGTGACTTGCAGTATGCCTCACCTGCAACAGTTTCAAGAGCAGGTATGGTCTATGTAGACCCGAAAAACTTGGGTTACCAGCCGTATATGGACAAGTGGATACAAGCTCAAGACAAAGCCGATCAAGATTTTCTGCGAGAAATGTGCGAGAGATATGTGCACGGCTCGCTTAGGCTTATTACCGAAGGAATGTTAGGTCTTCAAGCAGTCGAACCTCTTCGGACAATTATCCCGCAAACTGGACTCAATATGGTAATCGCTAGATTAATTATCGATTTGCTGGCAATCACAATTGTAATAACGATTAAATTTGTTCTATTGCATTTGCAAAAGATAAGAGAGAGAGAGAAAGAGAAGAATAAAAGCTGAATCTTAAATAAAAATTTTAGAACTAATTTGCCTTTTTATTATATGCTATGAATAATATATTGACTTCTTAAGGTAACTCAATTTTGCTACGTATTTGACGGCTTGCTGTCGTCGTTGAAAAATGAACTGACAAGAAAAAAATCGGAAGTCGACCGAGAGGAAGAGGACAATTTGTTGGTGACGAAAGAAGAGCTCTGGGAGGCAATGTACATTCAAGCGTGCTATTGGTCGTTCGGCGCATCTATTGTGGACGAGGCTCGCCCCAAGTACGACGAATACATAAAGAAGACGTGTGGGTTTATACTGATGCAAGACACGCCCGCTAAGCTGGCGACCGCTAGTAAGTTTAATAGAAAAAATAAATTCATAAATATACAAAACTAAATTATCATCATCAAGATCTGATTAATGCACCTTTCGCTATCATTATTAACTAAGAAAAAAATTAATACGTTTGCTTAGGATACATGCCCGCGTCTTTCCCAACCATCTACGATTACATATTGGATACTAAGAAAAAAGTTTGGATAGCTTGGAAATGGTTGGTACCGGCGTACCTTCACGACAGACAGAAAAACTTCTCGGACATTTTAGTACAGACGATTGATACTCTACGTACTACGTGGTTCATAGATTTAATGAAGAATCTGCAGAGACCAGTACTGTTGGTCGGAGAGATTGGCGCATCAAAGACTGCCATTATTCATGAGTTTCTAAGGAACTTGAATTCCGAAAAATACGTGAGTGACAAGTATCGAAGAGATTAGCTCAATAACTCATATTAATTACTTTCTACTAATCCAAATAATGTTTCAATAAAATGCACATATAATATGCATATGAAAAATACAAGTGTAATAAGATGCGAAAATTTTACATTGTGACATTGAATGTAGGAACAGCTCTTAATTAATTGTTCCTCGAGAACCACCTCGATGGATGTACAGAAGAATCTCGAATCGGCAGTGGAGAAAAGATCGAGAGAAATATTCGGAGCACCGCCCGGGAAGAAATTGATAGTCTTCATCGACGACATGAACATGCCGATTGTGGATATTTACGGGACCCAGCAGCCCATCGCGTTTCTTAAGCTACTGTTTGAGAGAGGCGGCTTTTACGATCGCGAACGTGATCTAAATTGGAAGTATTTGAGAGACATCTGTGAGTATCGTGCGCAGAATGTCTCGAAAGTGACACCGCTTCTTTCAGAAACGTGACGTCAATTTCCTTAGCAAGGAATTCTATTAATTTTTCTATACAACTTTATCATTATCAACTTTTCGTTTACTTATCGATCAAGAATTTAATAGATATCTACAATGTATTAACACAATTGCAGAAGATTTTAATTGCATTAATGTCTTACGAATTGCTTTCTATGTAGATTATTTAGCAGCCATGGGAGAACCCGGTGGCAGCAGAAACGAAGTTGACCCGCGGTTTATCTCGATGTTCTCGGTTTATAACGTAACTCTTCCCACGAGCGAGACTCTCAATTACATTTACGGGAGTATCTTATCCGGACATCTGCAAATCTTTTCGGAGGCAGTTCAATCTATCGCGGGCGGACTCGTGCAACTGATGTTGGAACTTTACGAGGTAATTCCGCGGTATATTATAATATAATTTCTTTAAATAAGATATCATAGAGTAAGATAGACATAATGTTATTCAGACAGTTAGGAAAGAACTGCTGCCGACACCGTCCAAATTCCATTACATTTTCAACATGCGAGATCTCTCGAGAATCATGGCTGCATTGCTTCAGAGCCATCCGGATTTCTTTCCAGACACAAAGCAGTTCGTTAGGCTCTGGAGAAACGAAATCACCAGAGTCATATGCGATCGTCTCGTTAGCGTACAAGTAATAAGCCTCCTTCTCTCTTTCTTGTCCATTAAAGCTTCATTTTTTAAGTTCCGCTATTCCAGGACGAGAATTTGGTCACCGAGCAACTAAGCGAAAAAATACAGGATTATTGGGAGCTAGAACCCGAAGTGATTCAATACAGTTTAAGAGACCCGATACTCTACGGCGACTACAGGAATGCTTGCAACGAGGATGAGCCTAGGTTTTACGAGGATCTGTTGGATTACGAAGCGGTTTACAGCTTGTTTCTAGAGGTCAAGCCTTTTCTTTAAACGAGTGGTTTTCCTTAATCATTCTTTTATGCTACATTAATATTCGATCTTTAATCTCGTTGTTTAATTAGGACATTGAACAATATATGTTTAGATCTCTTTGTTATTCGCAGATTTTCGAAGAGTACAACGAGAGGAACAGAACCAAGTTGCACATAGTTCTCTTCAATGATGCGCTTGGACACCTGACCAGAGTGCATCGTGCACTTCGGATGCATCGAGGTCACGTGCTGGTCATCGGCACGGGTGGCAGCGGTAAGAAATCCGTGATAAAATTAGCATCCTTCGCCGCCGGTTACCAGTTCTTCCAGATCGTCCTGAGCCGCGGATACAACGAATCGTCCTTCCGCGAGGACATGAAGAATCTGTACAACATGGTCGGCCTGGAGAACAAAAAGGTCGTGTTCATGTTCACATCCGCTCACATCAAGGACGAGGGCTTTCTCGAGCTGGTGAACAGCATGTTAACGGCGGGCCTCGTACCGGCTCTCTTCAATGACGAAGAGAAAGACACGATCGTCACTTCTTGCAGAGACGCAGCAGTGAAAGCAGGCTTCGATGTCTCAAAGTGAGTCGTCTTCCACAATTTTGTTCTTGAAATTATTCCTTATCGAATTCTCGAAATACATGTTTAATATAAAATGTCCGTGACTCTAGGAAGAGCGTCTGGTCGTATTTCGGCAAAACGTGCACCGCGAATTTGCGGATAGCGTTGGCGATGAGTCCATCGGACGACGCTTTGCGAACGCGATGTCGCAATTGTCCCGGCTTGATCAACGACACCACCATAGACTGGATGTTTCCGTGGCCGCAGCAGGCTCTGGTAGCGGTAGCGAACGTTCTTCTCAGAGATGTGAGCAAAGATAGTATGGCGAAACAATGTTCACAAAAAACAAAAAACAAGAGAGCCTTTGCTTCCAGAATCCGATCGTGCCGCAGGAATACAAGGAAGTGATTGTAAGTCACATCGTGTATGTGCATACATCCGTATTGCAATATACGGTGGACTTCGCAACGAAGCTGAGACGACGAAATTATGTCACCCCGAGACATTTCCTGGACTTTATCGACACTTATTTGAAACTGTTGATAGAGAAGAAGAACTTTATAAATTCACGCTGCGCGCGCCTTTCCGGAGGTAGATGCCAAATCGTTTTACGAACTGACCCATCTTTTTCCATATTTCTTCCTCTTAGTGAAATGCAACAAATATAACATAATTAAAAATTTATTTTTACATCTTGTCTTATTTTTATTTTGGAAGAAATTATAATTACGTGTATATCTTTCGATTAAAGAGACCAGGTTTTCCATCTTCGGTAAAATAAATACTTTTTCTTATAGGATTGCAGAAGATCATGGAAGCATCGGTGACTTTGACGAAACTAAATAAAGTGTTGGCCGAGCAGAGAATTAAAGTGGGTGATCAAACGAGAAGCTGCGAACGGCTGCTCGCGTCTATCGGCGAGAGTACAGACGTTGCAGTGGAGAAGAAGAATCTGAGCCAAGAGAAGAGGAAGGAGATTGAAGACAAGAAGAAAATGATTGCCAAGGAGGAGACTGAAGCCAGGCAGGTCTTAGCTGAAGCCCAACCGGCTCTCGACGCGGCCAAACTTGCATTGGGCGAACTCGAGAAAGCGGATATCACCGAGATAAGGTTCATCATTCTGGATTGATTATTGCTTTTCTCTGTTTATAAAGATTTGATTATTGTGTAAAATTTATCTGTTCAAATTTCTAAGCTGTATTTATCCAACATTGAATTTATAAAATTTGAGAAAAAAGGCTAGAGCAGCATTTAAACTAAAGATTAAATTTCAAACTCGCAAGAATCAATAATGACTCTTCAGGTCCTTCGCCACTCCACCTGAACCGGTTCAGATTGTTTCGGAATGCGTCGCGATACTGCGGGGCGTCAAAGAGGTGTCGTGGAAAGGAGCGAAAGGCATGATGAGCGATCCTTATTTCTTGAAGAACTTGCAGGAGATGAACTGCGACCAAATCACTCTGCGGCAACAGCAAGCGGCACGGGCGCATTTAAAGACGACGGACAAGCTGGATCAGATGCAAGTCATCAGCAAAGCGGGATACGGCTTATACAAATTCGTACTTGCTGTTTTGGATTATTGTGTTGTTTATAGAGAGGTATTTAACTTTCGCCTAAAATTTAACGTAATCTCTATTTTTCTCCTTCTGATTTTTATCTCGATACTTCAATTTAAAGATTCATCCCTTATCGCAGTCCAGTTTCTTACCCTGTATAAAAATCAGTATACCTTCATTACAAATTTACTTTTAATCCGCCATTTCAGGTGAAACCGAAGATTGATAGAGTTCAGGCGCTCGGAGCAGAGTCTGAGAAAGCCAGGCGCGCGTTAGAAAGAGAAGAACGGGAATTAAAACGATTAGAAACAACGATCCAGGAATTGAACGCGAAATACAATGTTGCAATGGCTGAGCGACAGAATCTTCAGGATGAAACAGACTTGTTGCAACGACGACTTATGGCCGCCGATAAGCTCATTTCCGGATTGTCCTCCGAGAATGAACGGTGGCGAAAGGATCTGCAAGTTCTTCAAGACGACATGGAGAAGATCACGGGAAATTGCTTGCTCGCAGCGTCTTTTCTGGCCTACAGCGGTCCCTTTTCCTACGAGTTCAGAAACGAAATGTACAGCGATTGGCAGAAGAACATCTTGGAGAAAGAGTTACCTTTATCGAAGCCATTCAAGCTGGAAGCGCAACTGAGCGACGACGTTGAAATTAGCAGGTAAATGAGGCTATTACATTTGACTGTCAAATAGATGTATATCCATAAATCACTTCAATTAATATCCCGAAATAATTAAATACTATATGATTTTATTTATAATGTTTAAAATTAAAACTGAAAACTTTTAAAAATTAGGACTAAAAGAAAGAACGCTCTATACAAAGACAATTTTAATAATGATTCATAGATGAAGTTTTTTTACTTTTCCCTAGAAAATATATTCATATAATTTAGCGATATGATAAACTCTACGCGTCTAATATTTTATGCAATTTGCAGATGGAACTCGGAAGGTCTACCACCAGATGAGTTATCCGTGCAAAATGGCATACTGACCATGAAAGCGTCCAGATTTCCGTTTTGTATCGATCCTCAGCAACAAGCATTAAATTGGATAAAGAAGAGGGAGCAGAAGAAGAACCTGAAGATCCTCTCGTTTACGGACACGGATTTCTTGAAGCAAGTCGAACTGGCTGTCCAATATGGCCTGCCCGTGCTTGTCCAAGATGCCGACGAGGTCGATCCTATCTTGAATAACGTCTTGTCGCGAAATATCCAGAGTAAGCTGTGAAATTCAAATAGATTCATGGATCAATATTTTATATCAATATAACTGCAGTGCGCAAGAACTTTAAAATTGTTCTGATTTTATCGATTTGTGTGCTGTAGCTGCTGCAGGACGAACTTTTGTTATTCTCGGCGGCAAGGAAATAGATTATGATCCACGATTCCGAATATATCTGACAACGAAGGCGACCAATCCGATGCTGGACCCTGCCTTGTATGCCAGGGCGGTCGTTATTAATTACATGGTCACTACAGCGGTGAGTTGACTTTATGATACGGCCATAATTACGATAGAATTGTAATTATCTTGTAAGTCACAATTATGTTATCGAGTTCCGAATTCAAATTTTGCATAATAAATTCTCGCAAGACGCTTCTCCTCAGGGCTTGGAGAACCAGCTTCTGTCGGTGGTAGTAAGAACTGAAAGACCAGACATTGAGGAGCAACGTGAGACGTTAATCTTGGAGACAAGCGAGAACAAGAATCTGCTGCAGCAACTGGAAGACAGTCTCCTGCGCGAGATTGCTACGGACCAAGGCAGTATGGTGGACAACATTGAGCTGATCGAGACCTTGGAGAGCATCAAGTCCAGCGTCAATGAAGTGATGAACAAGCTGAGGCTCGCGGAAGTCACTTCAGCTGATATAAACAAGCTTCGCGAAAACTATCGCCCGGTGGCGGAACGGGGCGCGATTCTTTTCTCCGTGCTGGTCGACATGGCCACCGTAAACCCCATGTATCAGTACTCCCTGATCAGCTACGTCGAGGTGTTTATTCACTCGTTGAAGAGATCGTTACCAGACTCGGTGGTCAGCAAACGATTGAGAAACATCATCCCGATGCTGACGAAGAACGTCTACGACTATGGCTGCACTGGCATCTTCGCGCGGCACAAGTTGCTCTTTTCTCTGCAAACTTGCATGAAGATAGAGCAGAGTATAGGCAATGTGAATCAAAAGCAGCTGGATTTCTTCGCCAAGGGCAGCATGGTACTGGAGAAATCACCTAAATCGAATCCTACTACATGGCTGCCTACATCAGGTTGGGAGGATATTCTCAAACTGGCGAGCGATTTTTCGGAAAAGTTTGAACAGCTTCCGGAAGAGCTACGCGATTTCGAGGATGAGTGGAAGAAGGTAAAGATTCTAAACGACGACTATTCGAATAAATTAACTTATTTCACGGGCGTATTTAAAATTGCACGTTTTGCTTAAAATTTTGTTCAAGACAATTCACATAATCTTTGAATTGAGTCATGCTATACTGCAAGGAGTGAGAATTATGTTAAAGTGTCTCAATTAATTATCCGTTTCAGTTGTACGACTCGGACACGCCAGAGATAGAGGAACTTCCTTGCGACTATAACGCACGATTGACATCATTCGAGAGGCTGATGCTGTTACGCTGCTTCCGCGTAGACCGTGTCTATCGCGGTATAATTAATTATATTACTGAGATCATGGGCGAGCAATATATCACGCCGCCTCACGTGAGTTTCGACATGATTTTCGAGGAAAGTACACCGACCATGCCCGTGGTCTTCATTCTCAGTCCGGGTTCAGATCCCACTTCAGAGCTGATGAAATTAGCCGATCGGTACGGTTGCGGCGGAGGAAAGTTTAAATATCTCTCGCTCGGTCAGAGTCAAGACAAGGTGAGATAAAGAGTAACGTAAAATTCATGTCCACCACGACGTTTGGCTCGAAGAATTTAATTAACGCATCTTGATGTTGCGTCAATACGTCGCGTTTAATTATTTGAAGAAGTTGCGTCTAACTTACTCGTACAATTTATTTGTATAACAGGTCGCGATGGAGTTATTGAAAACAGCGATGACGAGAGGTCAATGGCTGATGCTTCAGAATTGCCATTTGCTGTTATCCTTCACGAAGAATCTGGAAAAGGTCGTGGAGAACCTGGAAAAGCCCCATCCCGACTTTCGCTTGTGGCTCACTACGGAACCCACCCCTCATTTTCCAATCGGAATACTTCAGCAATCTTTGAAGGGTACAACAAAAATGTATGGCAGTTGTACCTTGTATTTTTTTAATGGAATTTATTTGCAGTGGTGACGGAGCCGCCGAGTGGATTAAAGCTAAACTTGCAGAACACGTACTTCAACATGCGGCCGCAGCTCTTGGAAAGTTGTCCTCATCCTCTTTACAAACACTTAATTTACGTCCTGGCGTTTTATCACGCAGTTATCCAGGCAAGCGAATTTTCACATAATCGCACATTTTATCCTCCGAGAAACAACTTCAATAAATCTTCATCACAGGAGAGAAGAAGGTATGACAAAATTGGATGGAACATAAACTACGATTTCAATGAGTCAGATTTCAAAGTGTGTATTACTATCTTGGACACTTATTTGACGAAGGCACTGGCAACGAAAGAGTCTAAAGTACCGTGGAACAGTCTGAAATATTTAGTTGGCGAAGTACGTTCGAATTCTAAGATCCAAATCTTTTTCTTTTTTAATTAATACGCCAAACTTTTTATCATTCCTCTTTTTTTTCTCAAAATTGAGTTAATTTTGAACGCAGCTCATGTTTTATGGTCGCAAAATAACCAGGTGATGTACGGCGGAAGAGTGATAGACAGTTACGATCGTCGCGTCTCTTACACATACATGGACGAGTATTTCGGCGATTTTCTCTTCGACGAGTTTCAACCGTTTCACTTTTACAAGAACGACTTGGTCGACTACGTGATACCGCCGGAAGGGAATCGCGACGCTTACCTGCGATTCATCGACGAGCTTCCGCTGGTGAACAGTCCGGAGGTGTTCGGGCTGCATCCAAACGCCGAGATTGGATACTTTACGCAGGCAATTAAGAGAATATGGAGGCATCTCATAGAACTTCAGCCGCAAACAGGTGCGAATATATCGCACATTGTTCCCGTTTTATCAAGCACTGTTTCTATAATATCGGTCGTGACATTATGCAGCGAAAGTATAGTGCAATTGAAATGAGTTGGCAATAAGTGGAGAAACAAATTTTTAAACTCGAGTCTCCAACATAAGAACAATCGAAATAGATTTAATTAAATATTGAATAACTTTAAGTTAACAGTGAGTTATATGACATTTTTATAGATATTACTTCCTTGAAAGAAAAATCTGATATCAGATATTTTCACGTTGTATATCGTAATTCTTAACTTTATTAATTACGAAATTATCTATAGTTCGTTCGGATAAAAGGAATAAATAGCATTGTTGAGTTTATTTCCCGATAAATTATAATCATATAAAATGACGTCAAATTCTTAGCCGTGAGCGTCACTGGTGTCAGCAAAGACGAATTCATCGATAACGTAGCGAAGGAGATCCTGACCAAGATACCCGCGCCATACGATATTAGTAAGGTCAAGAGAAATTTTGGCGTGGCCGTGACACCGACCGCAATCGTTCTATTTCAAGAATTGAAGAGATTCAACAAATTAATAGAAACGATTACGAGGACGTTGAACCAACTGAGAAAGGTTGGGGAACCTTCCAAGATAAAACTTTCAATCTGCCATACACAGACTTAATTTAATTACTTTATATTTAATAATTGTTTAAGTAATTATGTACCGATCTTGTACAAGATACATTTTTATTGCCATAAAAATCTTGCTTTATCGCAATTACTCTATGTTCTATAGATTTGCATTAATCTCGAATTCTTCGTAATATAAAATTTGTATATTTTTTGTACTTTTTTTATTACAATGCAGTTTTAAATCCACTTTTATAATTCTGCTAAGTTTATCATTAACTAAAAAATACGGCTGATATTTAAAACAAAGTAAAACAATTTCAATCGTAGGCTATCGCCGGCGAGATCGGGATGGACGCGGTGCTGGAGAACATTTCCGTGGCGCTTTATAACGGTACCCTGCCCAAAGAATGGGCCAGAGTGGCGCCGGACACGCGAAAGAACCTTGCCGGCTGGATGGGCCACTTGCAGAAAAGGATAGACCAATACACAAACTGGGTGCGTTTACGCGAAACCTCACGAATCATCGTAACGTTGCTCCGCCGACGCTGCATGCGCCGTTATCTTAATTAATGGTGCTTTTTCTCCCATTAAGTCCGGCGCGAACGAACCCGTGGTGCTCTGGTTGTCCGGGTTGCATGTCCCGGAAACTTATCTGGCGGCTCTGGTGCAAATGGCTTGCCGCAAGAATAATTGGCCCCTCGATCGTTCCGTCATTTACACGACGGTGTCCAAGTTCTCCAAGCCCGACGATGTTGAGGAGAGACCCGATCAGGTAAATCCGATGACGCTCGCTTTACTTTTCACAAAGTTTTATATTAGAATTACACTACATGCCAGGTCTCGTCTTAAACAGGGGTGCTACGTGTACGGATTGTATTTGGAAGGCGCTAGGTGGGACATCGAGGAACATCGTTTGAAAAGATCGCATCCGAAAGTTCTGATTGAAGAGCTGCCGATATTGACCGTTGTACCTACTGAAGTTCACAGATTGAAGCTACAGGTATCGAATTCGCTTATTCGCTTCCACAGTTATTCTTAGAAAATACCTCGTCTCGCTCTTGCAATTCATTTCGAGTCAAAAGATTCGTACTTTCACATAATTTGCAATTTCTGCGGAGAACTTCCGAATTGTAAAGCGGATATTTACGCTTGTTACAGAATACGTTTAAAGCTCCCGTATACACGACGTCGAGCCGGCGAAACGCCCTCGGCGTTGGTTTAGTCTTCGAAGCAGATCTGGCGACCCCAGAACACATTTCGCATTGGATACTTCAGGGTGTTTGTCTAGTGTTAAATACAGATTAAAACGGTCCTCGAGACCAACGAAACAAGAGCCGCTAGATTTTTCAGTATATATCACGTATTCTAGTCTACTATTAATTAATTATGCTCACAGCATAAAGACGACTATTGATAACTATTCTCAACTGTCGTAATTTAAAAGATTATGTATAATTCTATAAGTTTTCATCATGCATGAATAAAATGAAAGAAGAAAGGACGGATGACGTTCGGGTTCGCATTTAACTTTTAATATTTATCCCGCGAAAATGTTACACTATTATTTCGTACAAATATTATAATATATTTAATCTTATTTGACGACCGCTCCGCGATACTTGAGCAGTGGTAAACACAGATTGTAAAACGAGCTGCCGACGAAATCATCCAAATTTTGCCACTTCACCCATTGATCTTTCATTAAACGTTCCGCACTTTTCGCTTTTCCAATCAAGTGCGGATCTACGATCAACAGATATACATTTTCGTTCCCGACGTGTAATCCTACTATACATTTGCTAGAACAGTCCCTGTCTCCACCCATCATAATCGGACTGCCGCAATACAGCAAGTGTCTTTTAATGTTATCCACTTGGTCGACCAGTCCCTTTCCGCTCGGGACGTGAATTATTTTGCTAAGAACATCGTAAAGTTGATTCACAACAATGGACACCTACAAGGTAGTCAAAATATTAGCTCCTCTTACTCAATACGATATGCTACAAGAATTGAGCCTTACTTCGAAACTTCCTATCCATTCTCTCGACCCGACAAACGTTCCGTCTTTATCTCCCGTTGCGACGAGGGTCTCTTGTATTTCATTAATGCTTGGAACAAGTTTTTCCAAGTTGTCGTTATTTATGATCCACGAACAGATGGTCTGCAGCGTCCTGTACCCGCACCCCCAGCCCTAAATGTAAATTGCATTCATTTTTCATACTTTCAGACGCATGAAAAATTTAATTATCTTGTCTAATCAATCACCCTGTCATCGAAACCGTCGCAACCGTAGTGCCAGTACTCGTAATGCCCTCGCACCAAAAACGTCTCGCCACTGTCCGGCGAGGCTAAATTCTCGTGAACGTTTTTCAATAAATTGCTGGAATAATCGACGGCCATCCTTTCCACGTGTCGTTAAAAAAAATCTAAACCAACACAACATTCGTTTACAAATAAAAATATACTTATTGATCGCTAACACAGTTATTTTCACTTGAATTTAATAAGCGAGACTGTATTATAAATCACAGTATTATCAATTTATGCAACAAATAAACAAATGAGGCCAATCTTAACGAGCACGAAGGTCGACGAAGCAATATATATTTTAAATTTCAAAGATGTAACAGTTAAAATATAAATCAGCGGACGCGTTTCGGCACACAGTGCTTTCATCGGCGCACAGTTAAAATTAATTAAAATCCCATTCGTTTATATAATTGAGGATTACAAAATTTATATTCCAAACCAATTGCTGTAAACAGATTTGCATTTCCCGCCGGTAAACATCCGCCTAACTTCACACGCTACTGTCACCCGATCCGTCACCTAACCTGTACGAGCGTCAAGCCGACGGGGAAATTCAACGGGCGGTGATTGCGAACGAATCGAAGCGACCATTTTCTCGTTCGATCTCAGGGAAACAAAGGCACGCTGCCGAAACGGCCGAGAGCGGGCGGGCGGTTTATTCAATTAATAACGCGACGATGAGCGGATCGTGGCGTCACCTGTCAACACGTCGGAACGATGCTACGCTTCGGCGTCGCGTGACTCTACGAGGTGGGATTTAATCGGGGATGCGGAGAGACGGAGGCTCGCGCGCGAGTGAATATCCCTCCCGCCTGGCTCGCATATCGGGGATTAACGCCAAGGTTAATTAACGGCGATGAGAGCTGAGCACTAAACACACCGATCGGTAGAATGGGCACTGGCCGCCGGAATCCCGTATCGTAGCGAAGCGCCGATTGACAGCGTGGAACCGATAAAGGAAGGCGAACAGCGAGCGTGGAAAAGACAGAAAGAGATAGAGCCGGAGCAAAGCTAGAGGGAGATAGTAATAGCAGGCGAGAGCGAAGGGCAGAGAGAGAGAGAGAGAGAGAGAGAGAGAGAGAGAGAAAGAGAGGGAGAGAGAGAGAGCGCGCGAAGCAGACTGGAAAGGCGGAAAGGAGAGTCGCGAGGTACGCGTCCGTCACGCACCGAGTGTTTGTCTCGGCTGGCTGGAAGCGCGCCGTTTCCCAGGGAGAAAATGAGAGCGACGTCCTCGTGCTCGGTAAGCCGTTTAACGGGCCCCCCGGTCGTCTCATCTAATTAGCTAAGTCGGCTACGGCCCCCCCCGGGTTACCGTCCCGTGGCCGAGGCACCTACCCCCCCCCCCCTCGTCGCGTCGAGCGATCAGTTTGACAGCTACACAATAGCCAGGCTATCTATCGATTTCCCGCCCCGCGGCATCGACCCGCGTGCCCTCGCCCAGGTGAGGCCCCGCGAGCTCCTCGATCGCGATCCCGCGGCTGCCGCGCGGCCGGAATCGCCGGGGGATGCCTACGGCTCCCGGGAGCGTTTCTTCTAGGTTATGTTTGCCGCGCGACACTGACTCTGTTTTTAGCGTCTGCCCCCCGCGCGCGGTGGCTCTCCCTCCCTGTCGCGCGTCAGCTGCGGATCGCTCTCGCGGGATAACGCGGCGTGCGCGGAGCGCGTGTTCGAGTCCGGGTTACGCGAGTCGTCGGCCGAGCTGCGCCCGCGATCGTCACTGTTTTGACGTTACCTCTGTGCTTCTCCGCCCCCCGTACAGTGAAACTACAGGAGGAGGATCCGGCGCGACGCTTGAGAAGGCAGGAAATGTACGGCGCTGAGAGGGAGGAGGTATCTGAAAGTTGGCTGCACACGTATGACCTGAGCAGTACTATGATCCCCAATGCGAGCACGGCGATGGACGACGAGGAGCACTTCTGCAAGCTCATTCTGTACAAGGAGATCAAGGACTCCAGGTAGGGGACGTCGCCGCGCGAACAACTTCGTTGTCCCACCCTGATGATCCAACGGTCTGCCTTTTGTTCCGCAGAGTGCGTATCTGGGACGTCATCATCCTGGTGCCGAATCTCCTGTTTCTCCTGTTCATCGCGATGCGGTTCAACAGAGCGAGGCTCAAGTTACGCGCGACGAGTAGCCCGATATTCTTAGCGTTTTACGGTCTGGTCATTTGTAACGTAGTTATATCAGTGGTGCGCTGCGTCGTGTCGATGACGGTGAACGCGGCGGCGTCGGTCGGCGGCAAGGCCGACAAGGTCCTGTGGGTCACTGTGAGGTTTTTTCTACTGTCCACGGAGATGAGCGTAGTTATATTCGGTCTGGCGTTTGGTGAGTGGCGTTTGCGTGGACAAGATGACGGGCGGACGGGCGCTCGCTAACGCGCGTGTCTCGCTCTTTCAGGTCACTTGGACAGCCGCTCCAGTATTCGTAGAGTATTACTCGCTACGTCCCTCATAGCGCTGGCGTATACGATCACCCAAGGAACGCTAGAGCTGGTCCTGCCGGACGACACGTTCCATATTCCCAGCCGCGACTTTTACGTATTCGGTCACGGCGGTATGATGTTTTGGTTTTGCAGCAGTGTCGTCTTCACAACGGTACGCTTACGCGCGCGGTTGCTTCCTCTCGCGCCGGAGAAGATCGATGTGCGTCACCGAGTATTTAATGTAATTTACACGTGTGTCGTTTTTAGATATATCTCTTCATATTAATACTGCCATGGACACGGTTGCGGGACCGCCTAGCACTCCCCAGTAAGTTACCGTGGGGATTACAGGTGCTGCGTTGCCAATTACGATTCTCACGTGATTACGCTTTCTGTTGCAGCACGGAAAAGCTTTTACGTTTACGTTGGTATACTAGCTACGTTGGACCTAGTACAGTCAATTGGCGCAGGCTTTCTAACTTATACGGATTATGGGCTATGCGTCGTAGACTTCACCGCAGCAGTGTATTTAACCCTGTTCACCCCTTTGGTCTACCATACATTCCTGTCAGAGTTCTTCGGGTGAGTTACCGCCGCTTAGCAATAAGCGGCTCGAGCACCGCCACGCGCCGCTGATACATTCCGGAAATTGTTCTGTCTTCAGGGTCTCGCAACCTTCGATAATGTTCTCTTACAAGGCGCAAGTGGACGACGCGATGGACGAAGACACTGTGTCGTTACCGCACCAACAGAGTTTTTCATCCTTGAAAACCGACAGCGATTACATCTATCAGGTCCATACTCCTTCTATTCACATACCGCTATACGATTCCCGGGCATTAAAATCCTCCAGGCCGGGAGCTTCTCTTTATTCCCTAACATCCGCTAAAGATCCCAAAAATAATGACTCAAGCACTTTCGGTTCACCAGTTAAGCCATATTGCTCGACATCCGGTATTAGAAGCTTCGGTAGAGATTCCAACGTGCAAAGGGGCATCTCGGCTGATTATCCCTTAACCAAGTCCGCTGCCATCCGAAAGAGCGTACCAGACCTAAGACTCTCCAGTCCGATCCGAAAAGCCGTTCCTGTTATGTACGCCGGTCCCAGTAGCGTCTCGAATTTACTTCTCTCGACCGATACCGCTAGTAACTTCTTTTACAAGCCGAACACAATAGACAGCAACATCAATCTATTTTCTCAAACAAGGAAAGGTAGCTTAGAGAGTGTATCGCACGAAACAACAGTACACGCGGTTGTGGTTGAGAACATTTCACGGGAACACGATAGCCCCTCGGAGATGTCTCAAGCTCCAGCGTTAGAGAGTACCTTACAGTCCATCTTGGAAAGCGGGACGCATGAAATCGAAACGGAAGGTCCCCAAGATTCACGATTAAAGACAACTGGCATTACCAATTTAATCGAGGACGGTGCCGTTAGCGCAGATCCAGATCACTTAACGACACGCATCGGCACCGAGATTTTCAAAAGTTGCTCGGACGATATGTCGCCTGATTTACCTGATACTTCAAACGTCACGCAACAATTACTGCCTAGAGCTTCCTTTACAACCGATACGTACAGGAAGAGCAAGAATGATTCGAAAGAAGAAGAGTCGGGTGGCTTGAGCGATTATTTATTATCCATAACATCCCCGAAATTTGTGAAACATAAAAAGAACGAGGCACATCCCAAACCCTTCCCAGATTCAGATTTTTACACGCAAACTGAATCTTTGTAAATAGCTTAACTGTATACCATTGCAGACGGCACACTGTATTTGTACATTTTATCGTAGATAATCTTTTAGGTTTTACGTTGATTTTGTTTACTTACCCATCCCCCTATTATGCATATATAACGCGTATGGTGAGGCACCATTCGAGAGCTTTATCTAACTGTAAATATCTCAGCATGTTTAGAAATGTCGTACAATTAAACGTATTGATGTAGTCAATGCACTTGGTTTCATTTATTTACACTAACTTCGGGCGATCTCTCCCTCGGCAACGATATCACTCTGCTGCCTTTTTACGAATGGAATATAAATGTTTTCAAGTAATATTTTGTTGCGCGCGCAATGTACTCTGCACCAAACGCTTCAATGTTGTAACACACATACAGTACGTAATTCGATGTTATTTCAAAGTGCTTTTGGCTGGATTATCGCAGATTTTTAACGGCATCTGTATGTATTTCTGCGAGTCTGTATAAACGCTTTCGCATATTACGCAGAAATGTAATTGTCACATTAGCTTCACAATAATTTCCTTGAAGCTTCTGTTATCTCATAGCATTCATATGAAATGACGTCGGAGACGAAAACTGCCAATTTTGTTTAACAGAGAAAAGATCGCATGACTTGGCGCTTCCGACGTCGTAATTCAATATGGTTGCAGTGAGGAAACGGGCGTCATAATCAATGAATCGATTAGGAACCTCCCTTGAAAAATGCAAAGCGGAATGTTCTTTTTTTTTCTTTACAGAATCACAGTGTTTATGACTCGACCCAGTTTGACACGAACGCTACGCCAATCAACCCGCTCTATGCAGCGTCTCTTCAAAGTCCAGATAGTATTACCGGTTACAGTATAGACAGTCAAGAAACGCCGAATCCGCCGAATGGCTACCAACAATGAGCCGTCGCTCATATCGATTCGTGCGCTATAAAGATAACAGAACGAGCCCGAGTACCAGTTACTCGACGATCAAATTGCAGCTTAGCTAAAAGAGCTTCGTGATCCTCTCTACATAAGGAATTTGTTACTTTCCTCCGAAAAGAGCGCGTCGTGCGAAAAGAAGTTCGGGGATCGGAGTGAGATATGATTATTGTAAGTCGACGGAAGGATTCTAGTCGCCCTCGAGTATTTTCAGGGGCCGCGTAATACGTTTACGGATAAAAATACGGATGCTTTTGGTCTCCATGTGATAGTAGGCGCAGATGCCCAAAATGTGATCGCGAAACGCTGGAAGAAATCTCGCAAAACTCGGAATCTCCAGTCTAGCTTTAGTTTGCTTTATTTAGGGCAAGTTCTTGAAGGACGATTAGGGGTAGCGTATCAATTCACATTAGTTTTGTACTTAAATAGACCTTGGGACGTCAAGTGAATTTTTACTGCACGCGAAAAATAGAATGTATTCTTTTCGGCGATGTTGCGCATTTATCTCAAATTAAGTACAGGACGTAGGTCATTCTAGGATTCGCATACATCCGATCGCAGACTCGTTTACCGTGCTCTCTTCATCCGTTTTAAAAACGTGTTTTTTACCCAGACGTAAAATCCAGTGGAAAAATAGCGACAAAAAAAACCAATTCACTTTTAAATGCCTTAGACTTAATGTAGCGAAATACATGCGACTTTTAGAATGCCCTATACGCACGGTGCGTTCATCATCACGACGTGTCATCCCCGTCGACAAATGCTCTTTGTTTTGTATCGAGAAGTGCAAGTTGGCATGCCGGCCGTGGATTCCTAGTGAGACGAACAAAAAGAAAAAAAGAACACTTAGATTTAACTTCTGAAACTTGCTTATCGTTTCTCCGTCCAAAGTGGACGTCGTCGTATCGCTCGAAAGTCCTCGTTGCGCGCGAAGCGACGCGCGGGCGACAAGCCGGACACTCGCTATTTTCTTACTTTTGCATCGAAAATCATTAGATCGATTAAGGGACAATAGGAGTCATTAAAGTTAAAAGTCGCGCGGAGATAATTTTTAGACTTAAGGAAAGAAAACTTCTTCAAATGCTCCAATAATTACGAAGACTCCATCCATGATGTATATACATGATCTGTAATTCTAGTGTAAAGGATCGTACTATTTATATATCTTAATATATACATATATATAATATATATATATATTTATCAATATATTACGTATCTCCGTATCGTAATTAAATTCGTACAACTGGCAGGTCTTATGACGACCCTGCGCTGCCCGCGTTTTTCACCTGGACGTTCATTTCGCGCGGGGAAAGAGGGGAGGAGATAGAGATAAGAGATTAAAAAACAAAGAATACGAAATTAGCGTCATAGAGGCTATCGTCATTCTCGAAGACGCGTTCACGAGGTTGTAACGCAGATTCCTCCGTTTTCCTACGTGGATTGGAGGAGGGTGGGAATCCAGGAAGGAGCAAAATTAATAGTGATATAACGTAACTTATTTTCTAGCGTAAATTCGTTCGAAGTTGTATATACGGAACGGTGTGCGTGGAACGATGTTACACAATGAGTCTCTCTGTCAATTGCAATTGCTTTTTACCATTTCCGACTATCCGTCACCCTGCACTCTCCACGAACCATCACCTGCGATCGTCTGACCGTGTGATTCTTTTGTAAAACATCGAGTGCAGTGTATAAGGCAATATATTGTGACCGCGTCATATAGCTATACCTAATTTTAAAAAAAGTAAAATAAACATGAATGACAATTCAACGTGTTCAATGTAATGTTTCTTGGAAAACGTAACCTCTCGACTCATCGGCAATGATAAAAGATACTGCCTGATCAATACGTGTGAGGCTGTTTTTCCGAATAAGCCTCGTAAGATAAAGTTCGCGCAGTCTTCAGAAAGATCAAAGCATCACAGTGGTGCTTTACAAGTCGCACAAGATTACTCTGACATAGCTTTACGCTGTACGTATATGTCTGAAGAGGAATCAGGTTTTTTTTCTCTTTAATATAAACGCAACTCTCGCAAAGTACACCAGCATCGGGCATCGTTCTCGAAGATTCTAAACGCGACGATGTATGTACGCGAATATTATTTATCGATGAAGCCTTCGGTGTCTATCGAGGGATCGTTGACTCGTGTCGCTTTGCGCGCGGATCACCGCACTTGACGTCACGAAAAACTTTCTCTTTGCATTAAACTCGGTCAATGGCGTATGTTATTCAACGAGATTCTGTTCGCAGCGCGTCGAACCTGAAATCGGCAGGTCCAGCGTGACTCAGAGACAAACGTTCCGCAATACAAACAGTCCGGTAACAGAGTCGCAATACGAAAACGCGCGGACTAAATAGCAAAGAGTCCTTCGTGCAGTTAATTGGTCGGATCCAGGGTTTCGATTGTGCTCTAGAGGCTTATCTCACGCCCTCCTTTTCACAGTTTAGATGGCAGGAAAGGGTAGAAGTCCCAAATCTTGCGTACTACCGCGTCGTCGCACGTGAAATCTCGGAGCACGTCGGGATCTGCAAGGAAAAGACAAGGGAGAAAGATAAATGCTTTCCATCCCAGTGAGAAATGATTCGTCGATCGACGTCGAAACGACACCGTCGAATTGATGTCGATTCGACATCATTTCGACGTCGATCGACGAATAATTTCTCACTGGGATCAGTTATTTTCGTATAGTAATTCCGCGTTGGAAACGTCCGGGAGAGCTAAACAGGAGTATTTTCGCAATCTTAATTGATCCCAACTATCATAGAAAGCAGTACGAGATTATCTGCGACAGATTGCGTTTGCAGACAAGATAAAAGAATCCGCTTTGACGCGCGAGTTTCGTATCGTTTGCCTCCCTCTCCGCAGCACGGAAGGCTTACAGTCCATTCCGTCCAAATTGTATAGTCGTTAGATCGTCAGGGTCAATTTAGATTTGTTTACTGACTATCAGTGCGCAAGTATTCCCGCAGGGGCCCGCTCAGCGTGGCGGCCGGCACCGCCAAGCTCATCCGCGGGTAGAGCACGGTGCCGTCCGAGGAGAGCACGTTGCACACGACCATTCCCAGCATGTCACCAGTCGTGCGGCTGATGATAGGCCCGCCGCTGGTGCCGCTCTGGACACAACAGGTCGTCAAGAGTGCGCAATCCATCGGCTTGGCGACCACGCCACCGCTGACGGTCGGCCGAATGGTCGAGGAGAAGGGAAAGCCTACGGAGACCACCGGCTCGCCTGCGGGCACAGATTTGCATTTGTTAGATCAGATTTACCGAGTGTCCGCGATGTTGCAGTTACATGATTTAACCGAGGCTCGACAAGATCTAGTTATAGGAGCAATGTTATTTTCCAAATTGCTTTGGTTAAGAAAAGCTTTCAGACAATTCTGATAACGTTACAATTCGGTATAATTTGTGTCATAATAGGTGCAAAATTTTATTTTATTACGATTTAAGATCTTGGATTAGCTGAGGTTTCATCAATTTCATCTCGGTAATCGTGCTAGATACTCTCGCTTTACAATTAATGACGCAGAGTTAACGCGTAGATTATGATACACGTGACGCCTGTAAGTATGGTTTGTTTCAATTGACTTAATTGATTTATACGCGCTTATGTTTTATCAATTAAAACGTGAACACTGTAATATTTTAAACGAAAAACGTTGCGCTTAAAATTAATAATTCAGAAATAATGGAGCTGTAGGGAGATTGCCAGCGAAACAATTAGCTTTCTTAAATGATTGCTTCAATTGGTAGCAATAATTAGAATATTAACGTAATTGTCTTTGCTCGTAAAATTTTTTTTTTGAAAATTCTGCGTCACTGCTCGCGTAACGTCGTCAATGAAGCTCTTATAGAACGTGTGGTAATAGACTTTTATTGTCGATCAAGTAAATGGAATGACTTATGTGTCGGTTTCCAAGTTAGAAGGAGGCCAAATATCAATTTCATCCCCAACGATGATCAATTGACCCAATTTTTCACAATTATACGCTATTTCTGTCCCGATGGAAGAAGGTCAATGTCCCTGGCGTTAAGGCGCCAGGAAACCGCTTAGCACGCTGCTGGATATACCGCTAATTTCCTCCTATTCCGAGAAAGCTACGAGAGTAAGCTTCAATATACCTGTCGTTTCAAATGATAACAATTTCAAGCGGTTCGAATTAGTAACGCGTTGGCTTCCGACGCCTCTCGATGAAATAAAGAGATATCGACAAGGTCAGGTACTTACCCTTTAAAATCGGAGCCCGAGACAACCGTATGGATCTCAACGAGGGGTCCAATTCTTGCGGGTCTACCCTTAATACAGCAACGTCATAGGGTTGATTCTCCGGCGTTCTATACAGCAGCCTTGCCCGGACACGTGAATTGGGCTTGTCCGGCCTCATTACGATCGATATCTCCCTTTCTGGCGCCTGTCAAAGTTCATTTTGACTTATTGTTCGTCGTAATATTGTCACGCATAAAGTTTGCTTCCGATAATCCCAATATATAATATTGATAGTCCGATAATACATTGCCGCAAGCCGAGTTTATCGCGCAGAATAAATTCAACACTTTTATGTTACGTGCTAAAACGTACTTCGTATTTTCTGTCTTTTCACTTTCGTGTAGATACTGAACTATGTTTTTCTGCAGTTCATTTCCGCAATAATATTTCTTTATAAGAGTTTTACCTCCGCGACAACGTGCGAGCATGTCAGGAACGTGCCAGTGTTCTTATGCACGAGGACGCCTGTACCCCAATTAATTCCACATCTAACGAGCACGACGCCTTTATCTAATGTCGCTGCATAGAAAAAAAGAATAAAAAGATTTTTGCATGTGCGGATAATAACAGAAAATAACGCTTATTAACGAACCATCTGTGTTTTCATGACACCCGCGATCTATGATTGGAGAAGGAGGAGGATTCCTCTTCTGTAAAATGTTGAGCACACATGGCGCAAGATTGGCGGCGAAAGTGTAGTCCACCCATTCTCCACGACACCAGCTCAATGGCGCTATCACCATTCCGCTGATGGTTCTGTGTTTGCTAAAAAAAATATACTCTTATTCAACAATTTTACATACGATAAGATGGATGAGCCACGGACTGTGTTATCGATGTAGCAATCTTTATTCGACTCTTCTTGCAAGAAAGAATGTAAAAATTATGGAGAAACAAACAGAACCGATAGCTTACGAAACATTTTTGATGTTTTCTTTGAATTAATAAAGACTATAAGTTATTGCGAACATGTTGGATTCTTTAACTTTAATACTGCTGCTTCTTTTCTTAAAATTTCGTTACTTACTGTTTATTGTAAAATGAAATGACGATAGAGATCATTTTCTAGATGCATAGGAATCTTTTGGTTGGTACATTCGTACTTAAAACGACAGAAAACAGTTTTTGATTCACGAGCAATAAAATGAACTAGTGTAATTAATAATTTGAACTTCAGTTTAAAATAAGACGGAAACAATGCCCTTAAGTCTCCGTTATTCTGTCGAATAATGGGAGATTCAAGAGACTTTCGAGCGAGGGGTAAACCGCTGAGGGCATTGTGGTGTACAAACTTCGGGCATTACTAGGCATTGTTTGGACATTAGTGGGTGTTATTTGGCCTTGCTGCGGCATTATAAAGAATCTAAAAAGATAAAACAAGATAAAACCAGATAATAAGAAAGTAATGCCCACTGGGCATTAGTAGGCATTGGTGTACACGATTTAATCGGACTACGGCCAGCGGTTTATCCCTCGCTTTCGTGCAAAGAGTGTTTACACATAAATTCACTGACGACTGGAGAAAATCTTACAAGTCGCCAGAAGTAATTAAAAACTTCAGAAGATTATTTGACCATATCTGGCAATTTTTTTTTTAAACTCACAACATTTCGACCATGGTTTGTGGTCCTTTGCAAGCGATGATTGTGCCAGTAATCCCGTATGGTAAGTCAACAGAACATGGTCGAAACGTTGTGAGTTTAAACATAAAAATTTGCCAGACATGGTCAAGTAATCTTCGGAGGTTTATAAATTCATTGAGTTCTAGTCATTATATAATTACCCATCCGACGAGATGATGTAAACGGGACCACCCTCTCCACCGGGAAACGCGTACGCGTCCGTCATGATAACGCAGCCCCCGTCGCCGACGACATTACTGATAACGCCGCGCGCGATCGAGCCGACGAACACGGGATTCCCGAAGGGCGTCGACTCAATTTCCACGGACGATCCGCGGATAAGACTCCGCGCAGCTTGGTTCAGCAGACAAGACAGGGCTTGTTCGACTGACGTTGCCGCGATTGACTCGTCGTGGACGCGGACGAGCAGGAAAGTCGACCGCAGTGATCGATGAAACTCGGACGATTTCGGAAAGCTCCACGTTTTGAAAAACTCGCCGAAGGTCTTCTCTAGAAGCGAGCACCTCCATGCAGCCGCAATCACGCCGTGGTGTTCCTCGAGCGAGCCTGATCGTTGATCGCCGTCGATCCCTAGATCGCGGTATATTCGAAATTTCAACTCGCCCGCGAGTTCTCCCGGCGCCACCGTGAGTTCTCCCGGTGCCATACTCGTGACGAAGTTCGAGATCGCGTAGGATTTATCGATAATTGAGCCCAGTGCGGCGCCGTGTGTCAATATCCAATCCTTTGAGATCGAAATGCCGGAGCACCCTTGCGGCGGCGTCAATGAATCGGCCGATGAATGAAGCAAAAGTGCGCCGCTTGGAGCCATCCTTCCCAACAATGCTGTAAAAAAGAAGTTGCAGCTTTACGATTTTTGAAAAAAACGAGCGTATCTAAAGAATTAAGATAGTAATTGTGATATACTTTTAATAGACTTTCTAAAGGCCCGCGTCCACGCTGGAACTTGGCCCAAGTTCTAGTTTCGAGAAATGTGTAGCCAACCAACTTGCAACTTTTACGGAATAGCTGCAAGTCGATTGACCACACGTTTCTCGGAACTACAACTTGGACCAAGTTTTAGCATCGTGGACACAGGCCTTAAAAATGTGTAAGGCAATATTTACTAATCTTTCTTTTAAAATACAAAATTGATGCAACACGCTTAAACATGAATTAGAAGATAGCTTATATAAAATGTACGTATCTACGTCTAAATATGAAATATACAATCTTACGTCTTTCTTTGTCTAGCGAAAAGAATTTTAGTGCCGATATCATCGACTTTTAGAACTCGTTATCCCGTTAAACAAACAAACTTCCAATCTTTTTCTGCGCACCCGATCAGGACACGGCTGTCGCACCTGTTACAGCCTAAGTAAGAGCGCGTTTTGCAATACAAAGATATTGAGCGATCAAACATCGGGATACACTCGCAGGGAGCACAGCTGTCACATTCGTCGCGCAATTCAACGGTGAAAGGGTTAATTGTCGCGAGCGCGGCACCGTGAAATCGCGGTGCTAGCTCGATAAAAAGGGCCGACGGTGGAGGGAGGAAAAAGGATGGAGGAAAGAGGGGAAAAAAAGGCCATACCCGCCGCGTAATCGTGAGTCACCATCGTGCGCGGTGAACCAAAAAGAACGAGATCAGGAGTGGAGGAGCGGCGGAGTCAGGAATGACTTGTACATCTGCGTCGTTCGCGAGCTAGGAAATCCCTTTGCAAATACCGTATGATTACGGCCGCATACCTAAACGATAACGCAAACGGCTGCGGGAAAAGGCCGGCTCTCTGGATTCTTAGTCTCGCGAGACTTAGTCCCGCGGTGGAATTTTAAAAATACACGCCACTTATTGAAGAAACTCTCTGCGTAGCGCAACGCAACTTACGACTGTGATAGCTAGTTGATTCATTAGTTAGCGATATTTTCTTTATTATTCAGTCATTATTGTCGCATTATTTTATCATATTACTTCGGCCATTACGATATTTTCCGTCTCTCACACTGAGAAAAATGCCCGATTAAATATAATCGGACAGGCCAATTACATAATAACAAACGGATATATCCGATTAAATTGTAATACCCGATGAAAAATGTGATCGATTTTTCAATCAAATTTCATCGGTAACTGCATTTCATCGGCTGTCTCCATTATTTAATCGGAAAACGTTATTTGCATTTATTTTTGCATTTTTTCCCCAAGTGAGAAAGCTTTATTCTCTGCAAGGCGTGCAAAATAGATTACAACCCCTGACACTGTCAAGTATTGCCATCTTGGTACCTCATGTCCGTTACAATAGACATTTTATTCCCCTCGCCATTTGTGGGCCACCCCCGCGGCATTATGTTCCGTCCGGGTATTCCTACGTTCATGGATGTATCCATAATTTAATCGGAAAACGTAATCGGAAAAATTAACCATCGGAAACACTATTTAAATGGTTTATCCGATGGAAAATTTTCTCAGTGCACCTGGCACAATATTGCGTATTGACACTTAAGTGATACTTTTATAAGCTTACATAGACGTATCGCGTGTTAGTCACGGGGGACACTGTCAGAGAAATATTTCGAATTATCTGGCTTTAAGAGGGAAATATCTCACAACGTCAAGAATCGCGCGGCGCGTTAAACGGCGGAGGATCCGTCGCATTTTTGCACGGTCGTTCGCGAGCAAAGTGGGGCACAACGTAGGAAAGTCTTCTTTTTCTTCTTCTTCTTCTTCTTTTAGGATAATAAAAAAGCGCTGAAAATAATCGTGACTCAGCAGCTGAGCCGTGCACGGCGCGGCATGTGCACGATAAAAAAAAGAAACCAACGTAAAAAAAAAAGTTCGGGTACGGCGAACGCGCGAGAGCGCGTAGAATACGTCACACTTTTGTGGTAAGCGTGTGACGTATTAGAAGGTCCGGTTTTCTCGGAACCGCAAGCGAGAGAACTGGTTTGACGGCACGTGTCACGAAAACGAGAAAAAAGAACGAGAGGGGGGAGGGGGAAGGGCGCCCAAAAATAAACGCGGGCAGACAGAACCGCAGATGTCTGAGGAGCCAATGACGAGATGATGACATATAATGCATGCGCGGGATAGAGTCGGCGCTAAAGAGACGCACACGACAATTACAGACGTCCAAATGAGAACGAGAGGATTCTGCGGAAAAAGAAACGCGCGCGCGTAAAACTGCGTCAACACGCCATCCACCGGCTGACCCGTCCGCTTAGGCGTTTTCTTTTTTCAGGTTCGATCCAAGGTGATAATAGCGGTCCTAAGAGGCTATCCAGGTAACGCCGCGAGCGAAAATGTCAAGGTAAAACGTGGCCGAAACCGTAAAGCAGGCCTGAACCAATCTTTATCACGCCCTATAAAGCTCTAACACCGCATCGTAAACGCAATTGTTCAGTTCTCTCGCACTGTCGCTCTTTTCCCGCGAGAGCGGTAGGACAAGCTGACCAAACTCGGATCAGACACCAAATGCGGATCAACAATTCGATGAGTCGCTATAAGCGACATAAAAACACGTCGGTGCCTTTTGTGATATCGACAATATTGCGTAAAGTTGTAAATATATAAAAGAGCAAAATTTAAGTGAATTACTTAAAAATGTCACTTATTAGCGACTCGTCGAAATTTTGATCCGAGTTTGGCCACCTCACCCAAAATTGTGGATCTTTCGCGCGGCGAATCGTCCTAAAAATTGGCATCGTGCGAAGAAGTTTGTATGTAAACCGGGTCTCCCGTTCACTGTAGGATTCACGGTTTCTCCTTCGAATCCGCCAGTGCTTCCTCCCGATCGATTTTTGCGCTTCTCCTCTTCTTGCTTCCTCCCTCTCCCGACAATGATGGCCGTGCGACCGCTTGCCAGCTTGCCGGCCGATCTTCAATGAAGATTGCCGACTATCCCTCCCGTGTTTCTTCCTCTTCTTCCGCCGCTGCTCGTGTATTAACCGCTCTCGCATACGAGATGCATACACGCGAACGTAAATTTGCATCGTCGGCCAACGTGTAGGCGATGTAAGGTCCGCCGTCAAGTTCACCGGATCAGAGCTCGCCGAAAGAGCGTCGCGCTCAGCGATGTAGTATAATACAACGTGCATATAATAACAATATATATTTATAATATAATATATATTTGTTATCTATTCCAACATCCGTAGCGCCGAATTGGGTAGCTCCCAATTAGGAAAGCGAAAACAAGATTTGATTTATGAAATAGCCCCGACGACGTCCCACGCCCACGATAATTCTCACCGAGTTAAGCCGTTAAGTGTTATCTACAACCTGAACGAGCTGGACAAAATAACGATAACAAACTGGATACAGCTTAATGGACGCGATCGGTCGATCGCTTCGTTTTGCCTCCGTTTCTCCTCGAAGGTCTCGAAAAAGACCACGCGCCAAGTCTCACCACTCACGGACGTGCGATTCATTTATAACACGGAGAAACGTTAGATAAACGCCTAATTAATGTTCGCGTACTAATTTCGCCACGATTCCCCTGTCCGTATGAAATATCGCCGACATTAGCGAACTCTAAATACAGAACACACGAATTCGACGGGAAAGATGGCTCCGAGGTTTTCAAAGAAGCGCGCGATCAGTGGATTATCTCTGAAAATAGTGAATTCGGTTGTTTGCACTAATGCGCATCGAGTGCATACTAGAACTTGTCGGTCAATTTTTATATTTAAGAATTGTTTTCAATATCTCTTGAAATATTTCGTAGCCAGTAAAATGATCTGTATTTTTCGGCTGAATACTCTTTGAATATGTATTTAAGACAAAGTTAAATATAAAAATAGACCATAAACAAGCCTTAGTGCGCACTAGTGCAAGCAACCAAATTCGCTATAAGACAAAGTTAAATCTAGAAGAGGTATTTAAGACGATTCTTAAATATAAGAATTGACTGTAAACAAGCCTTAGTGTATATACACTCAGTGCGCACTAAGGCTAGTTCTAGCAACCTAATTCGCCAATAGATAATCCACTGATTGACTTTTATGATGATTGATTCTTTGTCTCTCCTCAGACGATAACACAGAAGAAGATAGAGAGTCGACTAGCCTCTGGTTAACAGTTAACCGGAAAATGAAAAACCTGGCCTTAGAGAATTCGTTATGAAAAAACGAAGAATCGGGAATAAACTAAAATCGGGGAAAGCGAGTCGGTGTTGCGAATCACCCGATATACACGGCGGGACAAGCCGCCTCCCAGCGAGAAATGAGTATGACTCGTCGATCGATGTCGAAATAATGTCGGATCAACATCGAAACCGTCAAATTGATATCGAACGACATCAATTTAACTGTTTCGACGTTGATGTCGAATTGATATCGAATCGACGTCAATTTGACGGTTTCGATGTTGATGTCGACTCGACATCGATCGACGAGTCATTTCTCACTGGGGTGGCGGTACCGGGCTCTTTCGCGCGGTAGATGAGACGTCCGCGAAGATGTGTTCGCGTGTCCATCACCCACCGCGAGTTTCCCTCCTCGTTCAGCCGAGTGATCCTTTTGTATGTTTAAGCGCGACGAGGAGCAAAAAGCGAGGACCGCGCGCGGGCACGTCCTCGCCGCGCCTGTCCGATAACTGACCGGTTCTACTGCGGCGAGCCGCGGCGCGCCGCTATCTAATTTTCTGCTCGTGACTTAGATCGAATAACGATGGTCTTCCGTGCCATTTAAGTCGCACGCCGCTCGCGGCGCACGTTCAATTACTGAAACATCGCGGGGATAATCGGATTTCGCGAAACGCCGCCGTGGAAAATTGTACGATCCCAGGCGCACGAGAGCCCAGGCCTGCGCTCGCAATGTTGCGCTCCTCCAGCGCGCTCGCAATTTAT